GCAGCCATTTATGGTGGCCAGGGTTAGACAGGGAGATAGAGGCTCAAGTGCATGGATGCCACTTGTGTCAGCGTTCACGCCTGGAAATGCCTCAGGCTCCTGTACATAGATGGGAGGAAACACAGTCACCTTGGTCTAGGGTGCACGTAGATTACGCTGGGCTCTTTCAGGGTCAATTCTTCTTGGTCCTTGTTGACAGATATTCAAAGTGGCTTGAGGTTGTACCTGTCTCTTCCACCACTGCTGCCAAGACCATTCAAGTACTGAGAGGGATTTTTGCTGCACATGGGCTCCCAGATGTCCTGGTGTCTGACAATGGTCCTCAATTCACTTCTTTCGAGTTTCAGGCTTTCTTGCAGGCCAACATGATTCATCATGCCACCTCTGCACCATTCCACCCCTTCACCAATGGTATGGCTGAGCAGATGGTCCGCATCACCAAGGATGCTTTAAAGAAACTGACCTACGGGGACTGGCACCACAGGTTGGCAGACTTTCTTCTTCCTTACCGCACCACACCTTCAACTTCCACTTCAACTTTCAGCCCAGCTGAACTCCGTTGGGGGCGCAAACTGATCACCAAACTTGACAGGTTGCACCCAGACAGACTGCCTCCTAAGGTCACCCAACCCAGGGCACCGCGGTGTCTGCAAGTGGGTGCCCCAGTATGGACTCGGAACTACGGGCCCGGTCACCTGTGGGTTCCTGCCATAGTATGCAAGGTTACTGGTCCATTGTCCTACGAGGTCTCCTTGGATGATGGTCGTGTCCTTCGGCGGCATATCGATCAGCTGCGTACGAGACTGGACTTACCCTCTGCAACTCCTGGGCTTTCTCCAGGGGGGAGGGGGACCACTATGGGCAAAGGGAAGGGTGTTGGCAGCAGTCGGGGCCAAACGGAGAGGCCGAAGATGGCCTGTTCCAAGGTTCCGCAAGTGTTCCAAACAGGAATTCAAGGGAACAAGAAATAATACAGGCACCAGTGCCTACTCCAGCCAGGGAGTCACCCAGGGGGCATACTCATCATTCACAACTACCATTCAGTACTCCAGTCAGGGAGAATAACCGGGAGCATCCTAATAACCCAAACATTGCAAGAGAACTGGCACACAAACAGTCAAGTTGACCCAGTACTGCTACTGCTTCCAAAAGGAAGTCTTCACACAGGGAGGTGGTCAGAGAGGCAAATCCCAATTCTGGCACCTCCTGCATAGATTGGGGGGCAACTGAGTATTGGGGCACTGCAGAAACCCCAGACAATCCCGTTACGGGGCTTGCGAGTGAAGGTATGCGTTCCCTTGATAGATCCATTGTGGACTTGGAGAGTTCTACAGAAATGCCAAACATTGGCAGGCATACAGAGGGGCCCAAGAGCCTACAGTTAGGCAGGTCAACCAGGTTCATGGGAGAGCAAAGTCCTGATCTGACGAGCCCGGTGGGCAAGCAAGCAGACCAGGCAACGGGACACAGTTCACGGGGACCACCAGGGTATGAAAGAGGGGGCAACTCCACTTCATCCTCTGCACAAGAGGAAGTAGGGGGTTCTCAGAACCTGAGGAGGTCACAGAGAGTAAAAAGATCTCCCAAGTATCTTGAGGACTTTGTAACCCTGCTGTCAAAGCAAGGAAAGTGAGAGGGTGCCTGTTGTTGTTGGAAAAACTGGGAGTGTGAGTATTGGGTAGTTAATTCCAAAACAATAGCCCAGTACCATTTTGTGGTGTGGCTAGTGCACAGCTGCAATAGATGTGCAGGTTTTGGGTTGGCATACCACGCTTGTGTTGAGGTCGCGTATAACTACCTATATAGTTAATAAGTCTCATCCGGGGGGGAAGGGGTGTTGTGTCCTGAGCCTGCAAGGGCAGGCTCGGGATGTTGCAATGGTCCCGGGCAGTTTTAAAGTGCCCGGGACCAGACTGAGTGGCGCCGGCTTCGCGCGCCAGAATGTTACCTTTTTGCTCGGGGATGCTATTAAAAGAGTCAGAGAGGCCTGCGAGCCTCAGAGCTGTGACAGAGAGAGAACTACTTAAAATAAAGGGCTGTTGGAATTACAGAATGTGCTGTATTCATTCGCCATTGACTCGAGGACTCAACAATATACCTATTACATACATCAGTTGCATGGTTCCATTAGCTACAGTACTTGTTTTAGTTTCTAATAATGGAAAGTTTAGAATGGGTTTATTTGTGATAGAATCAGAATGTCAGGGCTGCCTCTGATCAATCCCTACGAAAGAAATCCCTTGACTCCATAGATTTAGAGAAAAGATACTTTTACTAGGAAATAACTGATTCCAGCAAAGGTCAGGCAAGGTCTGAAGCAAATGTGCATGAAAGGACAAATTGAAAATAACCCCAGAGCCACCCCCCCCCCAGTAGTCAAGCAACCAGAGTCCAATCATTGGCCAGGAAGATGTTTTGGGAACGTCTCGGGTCCAGATGCTCAGTGCTGCCTTCATGCATGCTATTCCCAGGATGGTTGGCCTTGAAGATGTTAACAACTCAAACTGACCTCTCTGAGTCTAAGCTTCCCCATCACTTCTCACCAGTGCTTTTTTTGTAAAAAAAAAAAAAAAAAAAAAAAAAGGTGCCATAACTCATACATGTCATACAACCCGCCTTGCCTACCCTACAAGGTTTCATCCAAAAAAGATGCCGGAACTCCGTTCTGGACATTCTATGACAAAAAAAGCCCTGCTTCTCACCAACTCAGTCTCACACTACCTGCACGCTTCCCCTCCCAAATACCCATTGCTCCCTCCCTCTGTTTCCATAGCAGCTGGCAGCAAGCTTGAAGGAAAGGAAAAGGGAAGCATTTTTAAAACACAATTTCTAGGTCAAGGACTATGTTAAAGTTGTATAGTGTCAACCAATACTATGTCAGATATAGGGAGGCAAAGGAATTCAGAAATTATAGAGTAAGGAGTGAAGGTGAAAGAGCTGGAAATGGAACACAGGTTGTGATAGGACTAGATCTATCAGTCCCATGAAATATAGAATACTAAATATCATATAATAAGAAATCTAGGAACACAGTATTAATACTAAAACATGGTTTTGGCATTCCCATTCCCCCCATCAAAAACTCAGGTAACAAATACAATAGTTATTGTTTAGACCAGCCTGCATTACATACAGCCCACCCAGCAGCCTTATATGGCCCATATAAAAAATAAAAATAACCAATCCACTGCCACCAAATTTCACCACCACAGGGAAAGATTTGTGCCTAGGTTTTTGCAGCCACTTCCATTCTGAAGATGCATTGCCAAGTCTCACAGTCAGTAGCAGTTCCATCATTGCCTATTGGGCTGTTACTTTTGGCCAGCTATTCCTTTGTAGTCCACAATTATTTTTCAAGGTATTAATCTGGTTCTTTCCCTTCTACAGTATACTCAGCCTTGCTTTAGATTCTTCACATCTCAGATCATGACTTCAGTCAAAAGAAAGCAATCTAATAATCTGAGGTGCCTCAAAGTCTAAATATAATATCTTATCAGGAAAGCGGAAATGACAATGGCTAGGAATGGGGAATTGACCACATTAAAAAATGTAAATAGCTTACATATGGCTTTTTAAGAAAAAAAATCTCTAGTTATTTGTTCTAGCAAAAATATGTTTTTAAAATCAGAGTTTAATGTATCTAGGATGCATAAAAATAGATAATCACCCTAAAATTGTCTAGAATGTATAAGGTACTACAAATTTTTGTTGGAAATGGGGACAACATGAAGGGTAATTTTATCATGCTTAGAGTTTAAAGAAGTTAGAAATTTCTGTGTTCAAATACGTATATCGATACAAAGAATTTTAAAGATCAACATTTGACTAAAAGCAGAACTTTTCCTGCTAGATTAATGGATAGTCAATTAGAAAAGAGCCATGGAATATTACTTTTATATATGGATTACTGCTGTTAGCCTTTTATATATACAAAAATGGAAAGACTGAAATATCCACAATGGAAGAATAGTTGGTGAAGATGACAGTAGTAGCAGAGATGACAAAATTAATTTACTTGATTATACAAAGCTCAATTACATTTATTAGTGACTGGAAACCCCTTATGGACTTTTTGCTGAAAAAAAAGAGCAAAGTGAATTTGTGAATTACGTGTTTGAAGATTAGAAATAGTAGCTTATGGAAAGAAATATATATTAGGGCAAAATATAAATGTATCTAAAACCATTGTCAAGATCAGACAACCATCCTTTATAATTGTCCTTTTTATTTCTATTTTCATTATTTATTATTTATGTTTATTATCTTTATATTTTTTTTTACTTTATTAAAAATTTCTTAAATATGTGAAAAACTGTGTAAACAATAGGCTTAAAACAAATGCCAGATTCTTGTTGGTTTGGGGGGAATAGAACCAATCGCAACTCATTTATGTTAAAAGTTTGTATCAATTGACAAATGCCAGACATGGGCAATAAAGCAGCATTTTCCAATCTGGGAATTCTTTTCCAATCTTTTCCAGAGTTGCCGGCTGGAGAATTCTGGGAGTTGAAGTCCACACATCATAAAGTTGTCAAGTTTGAAAACAGCCGCAATAAAGCTATCTTCGCTTTTTTCCCCAAGTATGGCTTTTATATTAAACAGATGCAAGAACCTTTATACAAACGGCATCAAGAAATGTTAACTTTTAAAAATAATGTTTCACACACATGGTCAAAAAGAGATCGGGATCCAAGTACTAAAATCTGGAAAATTTCATAAATAAAAGCAGGAGACCTTGAAGCTGCTGCATTCCGCAAGCGGGCGCAGGGAAGAGCCAGAGAGAACTGCCTGGTACTTGTTAAAAACGCGGGACAGAAAGGGGAGGTGGGGTTCATGCGAAACACGCCGCCAGCCCCCCACCCCGAAAAAAATACGAGAAGCACACCCCCTTCACCGATCTTCCCTCCGCTTTATTCTTCTTCCCGCCCCCTCGCGTCCTTACTCTTACGTCATTTCCGGGGCGGCCATCTTGGATGCCTGGCTAACCTATCGGGCTCCTCCGGATTTCGGGGGGTGGGGATTCGTGCCGGATCGGCAGGGACGGGGCTGCCTTTGGGGCGCTCGACTAAAGTCGCTGGCGGCAGCCATTCGCTCATCGCAGGGCCTGCCTGACCGTCGCTATGTCGGATTTCGACAGCAACCCTTTCGCGGACCCAGACCTTAACAACCCTTTCAAGGTAAGGAGGGAGGGAGAGAGACGCAGGCAGGAGTGGACGAGACGCCGAGTCTCGGCTGAGCAGCCGCTTGTGGCACGCCGAATTGCGCCGGAGTGGGGGGGGGGCGGCGACGGCGGCCGAGTGGTTGATTCAGGGCTGGCTGACATACTTGCAAAGTCTACCTTCGACAGTGGGGGCGGCGTCCTGTCCCGCCCCGCTTTCTTCCATCCTTTCGCGGGATACAGGAATCTCGCCGGGCTTGATCTTTGGCCTCCCAAGAAAGCCCCATTTGTTCCCTGCCTTTCTCTGAGGAGGCGGCTACTGTCTGGCTGTATTAGCTATGTTCCCCCCCCCCCCCAAAGGGGTTTAACAGAGGAAGGATGGCAGGTGCGCGAAGAGGTGTAGGCTCCGATGCTACAAGCTCCAGTGGTTTGCATCTCCCAGAAGAGTGCTGCCCTCTGTTGTCAGGTTCCGGCCCTCGCTTGTAACGTCGTCTGCCTCCCATCTCCTTGTCTAGGAAAAGTCAGTGATCTAGAAAGAAACAGCGAGTTGATGACTGGTACTTTTTAAATGGCTTATGAATTACTTGAGGTGGCCAAATGTGCCTGCAAGTATTGAATTGCTTAAAAAGCAAAGGCAGCTGAATTGACGGAAGGGTAAAAAGATTACATCAAGGTAATCACTTTGTAGAGTCAACTGGAGGATTATCAAATTTTATATATTCATTTTTTAAAACCTGATTTTGTTTCTTTATAGTAACTCAAGGCAGCAAACATACAATACTCCTTCCTCCAGTTTTTTCCCAATAATAATCTTGAGGTAACCTGGGCTGAGAGTGGCCCATAGTCATCCAAGTGGCTTTCATGTCTAAGGTAGAACCAGAAGTTACAGTCATATGATTTCCAGGCCATATATATAAGATGGATCAAGTAGGCAGGCAGGACATGATTGATGCGGCAGCTATTACTAAGGTGGTATGCAGATATTATGAAATAAGTACACATATGCATCTGTACCAACTTGCAGGCATGAATAAAATAGGATGCCTGCTTCTGAACTTGTCATATAACAAGAATGGAATTGGTTTCCCAATATGGAGTAGGAGGAAGCAGGAAAAATAAAGTAATAATTTGGTCTGTCATTTTTATAAATATACTGTGTGTGTGTGTGTGTGTGTGTGTGTGTGTGTGTGTGTGTGTGTGTGTGAGAGAGAGAGAGAGAGAGAGAGAGAGTTCCAACTGGCTGGAAGAGAGCTTTATGTGAAATGAAGTTGTTGCACTGTGGAAAATATATATTGGTTGCAGACATCATTAAGAAGGTAGCCAAAAATAAAATACTAACACTATAATGTTTTTTTAAAAAATCTGTGGTATAACTATACTTGAAATATCATGTACAATTCTGAGGCTAAGAAAATACTGTAGAGCCGGAATAGTGCAAGAACGGGCAATCAGAATAATAAAGAGAGTTGAAGTCACTTGAGAAGTTTGTTTTTTTTTTAGTTGGGAGAAAACAATACTTAAGCAAGTAATAGAAAAATGCATAAGATGATGTATAGCTCAGAACAGGTAAAAGAAACTAATACCTTACAATGTGTACTTAAACTGATAAAATGATTGCTATGAATGTAATGATAGACTGTTTAGGCTATTAAATAAATTATTGACTAAGTCATGATCCTAAATATTACTTCTAATTAAGGCTGGAGTAGCAGTTATCATCCCATGTTTTGCTGTCTGCATCTGAAAGTTCTTTCAGTATTATAAGCAATCTACTATGCCTCTTATTTCATTTGCCAGCAGAAAGGTGCTGTCATTATGATGTTCTTATTTATAGACTTCCTTCAGACATCTGTATTGGTTGTGTGGGGAAAATGCTAGATTAAGTAAGCATTTAATTTAATCCACCCTGGCTTCTATTATGTTCTCTCTTCCTTTCAAAATTGTCAAAAGGGCTTAAACAGGTGGCAGTGTTAAAGCCTCTAAAGAAAAGATAATAGTTTTGAGATGCCATTAATTAATAGTAAATGAAGAGAATTTCTGATTAATAGCTGCTTTGTTCTAAATTATTAGTTATCTTAAATACTTACAGTATTTATTAAAAATGTTATGCTTAGGATTTGTCAACTTTGGAAGAAAAGTATATAGTTACCTAGAGCAGAGGCTCCCAACCTCTGGGCTGTGGTACACTAGTGGGCTGTTAGGTGTTTGCAACAGGATGCAGAAATGATGTGTGAATGCATGCATGCACTCTATTGTGCACACATGCATCCCCACTTGCACAAGTAGCGGGTGAGCGCATGCATGCACACTCTATTTGTGTGAGTAGCGGGCTTGCGCTTGCCGGCTGCTCACGCAGAACCATCTCCTTTCCTTCCTTCGCCAGTCCACGAAGACAGAAAAGTTGGGGAACTCTGACCTAGAGAACTTCAGAATAGTAATAAGCAAATTGCTTTTCTGGAATTTGTTAGTATTTCTAGTTGTAAATTTATTACATACGAACTTCAGAATATATTTTTCTCAGTAATTTCTGCAAGTATATTTTCATATTTAGAGAACTAGATCTGCATAGCCTATTTGGCTCTTGAACATTTAATCTGTTAATATCCTTAGACGTTCTGTCTGTTTATACTTTTATCACTTACGACAGTTCTTTCTTTTCATGGTGGATGTACTATGTATCACCATCAACTTTAGTGAAAGTTATCCAAACTCAAACTTATGTGTTTTCTCTTCAAAATATATTAAAGTTGTTTAAGACTTGTGAAAATCCTTTATTGATTCTTTCTGTTCAAATCTTTAAGCTTAGCTGGAATTTTTGCCTGAAGGAAGCCAGCAATTATTATACCAACTTGAGTTTCTGATGGCTAGATCTTAAATTCCTGAAGTATGGTATCACTCAATGTAAGATATCTATATCTGTCATACCCAGTGAATGGCTGTCAGCCATACCAGGTAGGCCAGACAGAAAATACATCCAGATAAGCTAATTCTAAATCATCGGTTACCTAGTTAGAGTAATGAAAAGTCTGCAAGAAAAAAAAACAAGCAAGCTCAGGGAGAGACCCCTCATTTCAACCCTGAGCTACAAATATTCTCCTTCATTGCTACATTAACAGTCTTGTAAGTCTGAAAATACAGTTCTTCCATCTAGCTGAAACTAGAAAAGATCCTCTGTTGCCTTAGCCACTTCCAGCTGCAGGCCATGCTCTCTCTTATCTGAGGCAGCATTTCTTTGCCTGTCTCCCAAGGTTTTCCCCACATACCTTTACAATGGCCACTATGTATAGATAATTATAGTTATCTTCACATACTATATTTCATTTCTCTCTGACCTTTCATTCTTCTGTGTCCTCTCTTCCTTCATGGAGGCATATATTTTTTCTCAGTGCATCTAATGAAGTGATGTGTAATTCCTGAAATCTTATTCTGTAATGTTTAGTCTTTAAAATGCCATGTGTTTTTTCGAAAGGTCATACTATCTTGGTGGTGTCTGAGCTTTCAGATGTTAGAACTTACTTTGTTATGTAAGTATCTGTCCTTTAGTAAATTTGCTTGGAAACCTGTAATAGGTTTCAAGGATTGAGGTAAGGTGTTCTTTAGGAATATTAAATACACTTGTACAAAGTAAAATTCTCAGATTACATAATTAACCCATTTTTTTAACTTGACCAAGTCTTTTTCCTTCCTAATTTGTCAACTTAAGACACCTCCTCTCTATTTTATCTTTTCCCTCTTCTTTGTGATGCCGTAATGCCAGTAGCATCTTCTCCCTCCCATCCTCCTAATGTAGGAAATAGGAAGGCATTGTGTCTCTTCCTCTGTTACCTTTGTTTGTTGGCAAGAGTGGACAGCACAAGTTCTTTAACTCTGCCCCCCTCTTGCTTGGGGATGTGGGGAGGGGAGAGATTTCCATCTCTTTGGTGGAAATTGGAATGGTTTCCAGAGTTGCTTCTCTCCCTACCCCCCAACAGCAGAAAGCAAAAAGGAAGAGAATTTCCATCTCTTCTATTTTTTTATTTTCAACTTTTCTCAATACTGAACTTTCTCCCTTCCTGGATATCTCTTCCAGTGAATAAGATATTCCATTGTGCCTCTTCTGAGATAGATGTGTAACATATTTTCCTTGTAAATTCTTCTCTCCTATCCTCCACCTGCAAGATTGGGGGGTGATGTTGAAATATACAAGGGGAGTGAACCATGACTGGAGTGGGAAATTATGGAGACCTTCAGCATGGATGGAGGTTGTGTTGAGATTTATCTATGCAAGCAATCTAAAATGTTCCACTTGGCATCCAGCTTCTTAGCTGAGGGGAGAAGAGAAATCAAGTAGAATCAAATCAAATTTGAAAGCTAAATGTGGTAGGAGACCTTCAAGGTGATGCTACAGAGACCTTTAGTGTTTTGGCATTATCTACCTGTACTTTAAGGCGATCTTTAGCAACCCGCAACTCTGAAGAAAATTGGAAGCGTCTCAAATAACTTATAACTGGGATAAATTTGATAGCAGGCACGACAGTGCTCTGAAACAATGACAGCTGAATAGAGGCATTTTGAAAGCAAATTTAGCTGTAGTTAAAAGATCAGTTGTCTTGTTGGTAGTTTATGCAGGAATGAAGTTAATACTCTTAAGGTAGCATATGTTCTCTTGATTTCTCCAGCCAACTACAGAAGAAGGATGTAACATAAGTGGTGCTTAACGTCCAATAATTGAAACAGAGCTTTTCAGAATTGTGCTGTTCATTGTATGCCTTTGAAAAATATAAGATGATTGGGCAGGCTTAATTCTAGAAAACTTGCTGAACAAATAGATGAGCTGTCTTAGAGGCAGCAGGAGACTATGGTAGACTGAAATGTGATAACTTAAAAAAAAAGCAGGCACTATCAGAATAATATTCAGACTATTAATATGTGGTAGGTCAGCAATAAATGTTCAGGGAAATTATATCCTGTGATCTCTGTACACAGGTGAAGGAATGCATTACCCTAACCGGTTTGTCAGTGAAAGGTTTGGCATGGCAACGAGTAGCAAAAACAAACAAACCCAAGACTTGATATCTTCTCTAATACAATACCACAAAAAGTCACAGAGAAGGATATGGGTCATTTGAAATAGTTCAGAATGTCCAGCTGATTGGTTGCTTCTAATGGCAGAGTTGTAAAATCTTTTTCTTCGAGGAAAGAAAAAATTACAGTGGGCATTATGATACAGTTCTCCCTGTTTCTAATGGAAAAGGAAGAAGACAAGGAACCAGAATAAAAGCCAATTAGTCAGGTAGGGAAAGAGTTTCATTTCCAGCCCCAAATGCCTCACAGAATGAGTAACATGTTGAGGAAGGAGCACAATTTTCAAAAGAGTTATAAATTGATTTGCATTTTAATGAGTGAAATAAGTATTTGACCCTTTCGCAAAACACAACTTAGTACTTGGTGTAAAACCCTTGTTGGCAATCACAGAGGTCAGACATTTCCTGCAGTTGGCCACCAGTCTTGCACACATCTCAGGAAGGATTTTGTCCCATTCCTCTTTGCAGATCCTCTCCAAGTCATTAAGGTTTCAAGGCTGATGTTTGGCAGCTCAAAACTTCAGCTCCCTCCACAGATTTTCTATGGGATTAAGGTCTGGAGACTGGCTAGGCCACTCCAGGACCTTAATATGCTTCTTCTTGAGCCACTCCTTTGTTGCCTTGGCCGTGTATTTTGGGTCATTGTCATGCTCCAGCATTCCAATACCCATCCACAACCCATTTTCAATGCCTTGGCTGAGGGAAGGAGGCTCTCACCCAATATTTGATGGTACATGGCCCTGTCCATCGTCCCTTTGATGCGGTGAAGTTGTCCCGTCCCTTAGCAGAAAAACACCCCCAAAGCATAATGCTTCCACCTCCATGTTTGATGATGGGGATGGTGTTCTTGGGATCATAGGCAGCATCGCTGCTCCTCCAAACACGGCAAGGTGAATTGATACCAAAGAGCTTGGTTTTGGTCTCATCTGACCACAACACTTTCACCCAGTTCTCTGAATCATTCAGATGTTCATTGGCAAACTTCAGATGCGCCTGTACATGTGCTTTCTTGAGCAGGGGGACCTTGAGGGCGCTGCAGGATTTCAGTCCTTCATGGCGTAGTGTGTTACCAATTGTTTTCTTGATGACTATAGTCCCAGCTGCCTTGAAATCATTGACAAGATCCTCCCATGTAGTTCATGGCTGATTCCTCACCGTTCTCATGATCATTGAAACTCCACAAGGTGAGATCTTGCATGGAACCCTAGACCGAGGGAGATTGACAGTTATTTTGTGTTTCTTCCATTTGTGAATAATTGCACCAACTGTTGTCACCTTCTCACCAAGCTGCTTGGCGATAGTCTTGTAGCCCATTCCAGCCTTGTGTAGGTCTACAATCTTGTCCCTGACATCCTTGGACAGCTCTTTGGTCTTGGCCATGGTGGAGAGTTTGGGATCTGATTGATTGATTGCTTCTGTGGACAGGTGTCTTTTATGCAGATAACAAACTGAGATTAGGAGCACTCCCTTTAAGAGAGTGCTCCTAAACTGAGCTCGTTACCTGTATAAAAGACACCTAGGAGCCAGAAATCTTGCTGATAGGGGATCAAATACTTATTTCAATTATTAAAATGTAAATCAATTTATAACTTTGTTGAAATGCGTTTTTCTGGATTTTTTTGTTATTCTGTCTCTCACTGTTAAAATCTGCCATTAAAATTATAGACTAATCATTTCTTTGTCAGTGGACAAACGTACAAAATCACTGTAGCTCTTAATTTGAGAGAGAGAAAAATAACAATTTCCACTTGCAGCAGACTGCAGATAAAATAGCAGTGCTAATTGCACCTATTTATTTCTGGCTCATCCCTGTCTTGTTAAAGCTATAAAAGGAAGGACCATGTCTGTGTGCACCCAAAAGTATGTTCTAAGGCCTGAGGTTGATGTGTTTGTGAATCTGTATAGTATTTTTTATTACGGTTGTTCTGTTATGGCTTTTATGTTTTGCTGTTCTTAATTATTTTAATTGTATATTTGATATGTTTTAAGCTATCCATTTTTTGGGGAGACAATCAGATAAATAATAATAAATTGATAATTAACTTTTTGAACTGCTAACAGCAAAAGTTTTTGCTTTTAGCTGAAATCAATCCACTTCAGGATGAAGGATTCTTGATTGAAGACTATAAACTATAAATTTGGTGTAAGTTGGTCGATTTTTCTTTGATTTGCCAGAGTTACTGAGCAATATACTGAAATAAAAATGGTACTGTCATTGATAGAGCAAACATGTAATTCACACATCTCGTACATTTTAATAATATTAGAATATTACTGTTGAATAAAATTTGGGCCTGGTTCTTAGGTTTTTTGCAATTGCTACTTTTTTTGTTTATATGTTAATTTCAGAATCGTAATTCCCAATTGGTTTGGTTCGGTGTTGAAATGCATCTTCAGCTTTCTGGCTGGAGTCCAATAATCAAGCCAGTTTAAGAAAACCTTTTGTTTTTTGTTCTCTAAAAATAACACTAAAGACTACACTTCAGTACACTACACTTATTACACTTTAATTGCAACTGTAATCAATGTCAAAACCCTTCCTGTTAGGACTGTTTATTAAGTTCTTAGAATATAAAATCAAACATATCTAGGAACTATTTTGCATGATTCATGGAATTTGTAATAGAAAATGCTAACTAGCTAATTCTTGATTGTATAGATCACTTGTGTACATTTGTGTTATGTGACTGCTCAAGAAATAGGATTACAAGCTAGAATGGGGGATCATAAAAATAATTTAGACAAACCACTTTTTTTAATATATATATATATATATATATAAAATCTTCAGATAAATACTTCCTAAGGAGGAGGCTACAGGTACAGGTAATCTTGACTTACAACTACAATTGAGCCCAAAATTTCTGTTGCTAAGTGAGACAGTTGTTAAGTCAGTTTTGCCCCACTTTATGACCTTTCTTGCTACAGTTATTATGTGAATCAGCGGTTAAGATGGTAACAGAGTTATAAAGTGAATCTGGCTTCCCCATTGACTTTGCTTGTTAGAAGATCGCAAAAAGTGATCACATGACCCCAGAACCCTGCAACTGTCATAAATATGAACTAGTTGCCAAGCATTTGAATTTTGATCATGTGACCGTGGGGATGCCTCAACAATTATAAATGTGAAAAGTGGCAATTTCGAACAGTTGCTAAATGTAAGATTTGTAAGTCAAGAACTACCAGTATGTATTGCCTTCTAGAGAGCAATGGCAGGTAGAGGGTATGTGTTGACAATGGTATGTCAACACAGAATTCCAGCTGACAGGAAGATTAACTTAATTTCAGTCTATGGACTAAAAGTGAGGAAAATTGAACTTAGAGCTCCTTTTGTGTGCTACCTCTGTGAGTAATGTATTCTGGCCCATTCTCCAATGAAATTCAGCTTTGGAAGAGATACTTTACTTTTTCCTTTTTATTTCTGATTTCTCCATGTTATGTTGTAGAATTCTAACATCACAACTATCTTGGGATTTGACAGATAGTGGATAATAGTTCAATTCTGTATTACCTTCTGTATTTCATATTTAGCACAAAGTAGTGGTGATTATTTTTTTCAAATAAGAGCCTGGCATATTTTGATAGGATAAAAGTGCTTATTCATAGCTTCCAATGCATGATTGAGTATGAATTTTGTATTTCAGTTTCTTAATGAAGCTGGAAATTCAGCTGGAAATTGAGAATTCAGTTAAATATGTAGGAAGAGCAGGTTTATTTCACAGAAGTTAAAATAGGTTTAAAGGGTGCTCTGTATGAAATCGATTAACAATATAGGGAAAGTAAGAATACAAATGCATTTCTCTGTTCTGTACTAAATGAAGTCAGATCTACAAGTAAAAACACTGCAGATTTGCCTAATCTTTATTCTGTTCTTATTTAAAAAATACTAGTAAATATAATTTCTAGTACATTTTTGAAGTGGTACAGTGCTACTGACTTAATCAGTTGTACATACAATATACTTACATCAAAAATTAACTTAAGTCTTCAAAAAATTCTAAAGAATTTTTATAGAGGTGCTATGTTTGTGAGTTAGAAAAAAATAGTATTTTGTCTTTAAGTTGACATTTTTGTTTGGGCATAGTTTTGTGGATCGATGTCCATGTTACCAAATCCATAGGATGTGTCCTGAGATGATTTATGGATATGCAAACATCTATATATAGGTGTAATAGTGAAATCAAAGGAAATGTTAGACAAAATGGGTATATCATGATACTTTTACAAGATGTTATCATAAAGTAATATTTATAATATTCTGATGTTGATAATACAGTACTTGTACCGAAGTGTAATAACAAGACATAAGTGAGAGAAATGAACATTGATTAAGTTAATATAACTGTTCCTCGGTGTATTCTGTCATTACTTTCATTGTTAAAGAATAACTATATTGAACAATATGTATTTTTGAGGTTTTAAAATCCAATAGGACATGATTGTGGACCTGCATAAAGGAATTGAAAACAACATTTCCTTTAGATGAATTGTCCTGTTTACTGTAAGGATGTGTCAACTTTTTGGAAAAAAACGGGTAGCAGGATAATATAGTTTAATATAGAGAAGTTGATTTTGTGATGAGTTCTAGAAAGAATCTAGTTTAAATAGCTATCACAAATCTCAGACTATGCTTTAAGTGTTTGCTTTGGTTCATATTTGAGATAATTGCTAGTTTATACATGTTTTTTGTGATTTTTCTCTTTTTTCCCTCTGTCGGTAGGATCCTTCCGTTACACAAGTGACTAGAAATGTTCCACCAGGATTAGATGAATACAACCCTTTCTCAGATTCCAGAACAGTAAGCATTTTTATCTTTCTTTAAGAGTGCATTTTTAATCTGCAATTTTTTTGTGTTACTTTGAATTCATGATATCTTCACAGATCAAACCCTATTTGTATTTTAATAAATATTGTTTGAAGCAGGCTATTTTAAATCAAAGTGTGATCTTATAGTCTGATGGCACATAATACAGCTACCTTGTAAAGCTTATCAGATTTGGGTTCGTAATGTTCCTGAGTGGAACATAGGCTAAGAAACACACTTTTGCTCTTTTTTGAGTTTGTATGACTTAACAAAAGCATCTTGTACTTGCTATATTAGATATGGTGTTGATAAGCAAAAGACCATTAACTTAATATCAGCTAATGCCTACAGAATATTTCAAGTGCATACCTTAGCACACTTACAATTAAAAGGGGGTAATTGGTGATAGGAAAAATCTCGACTTTCAACCTTAGGACCAGTCTGAATAGAAAATATAATGATGATGATGATACAGTAATGAGAAACAAGTTCTAATCTGTAGACTATATTCATTAAATTTATTTTACCTAAATAACAATGTATGCCTATTAACAGTAATACTGATTTATGTGATATGCTGTTAACTGATAGGAAATCTGTTTTTTTTTTACATTTGTATAAATGGTATTCTTATTCACAACAGACACACACACACACACACACACAGAGAGAGAGAGAGAGAGAGAGAGAGAGAGAGAGAGAGAGAGAGAGAGAGAGAGAGAGAGAGAGAGAGAGAGAGTTGTTTTGACTGTGGAACCGTAAAAAAAAACTGTTTCTGGCTGAAATAGCCCATTTTAAGTTTTTTCCTACAACTATAATGTACAGAATAATATCACTTGAACAGCTTTTATTTTAAGGAACAGGTATGTTAAAATGTTTGGAAATCAAAATACTTTGAACACTTAGGTCCCTTTCCTTCTGACATTGATCTACTTCAGATGTATTCTTTTTTTATTCCCATTTTATAATCCTGTTTTCCTTTACTTTATAAAATGAGGTGTGCAAAGAGCTTCCTATAAGTTTGTAATGGTAAACTATGTTCACCAGATTTATATTAGCTAAGATATGATAGAAAACTTGGCTTAAGAATTCAGGAAATCATTGCATGAAGCAACATAAGACAAAGATGCATTCAAATTTTAAACTTTTATGACACAACAAATTATAGCTTGATTATCTGGTGTTTCATATCTGAGCCATGCTTATATTCCCCTCATAATGAATGCATTTTCCCTCAAATTATTTATTTTCTTGCAGATTTATGCAAATATACCAGATATATTATTTGTTAACTTAACTAAATTTTGAATAGGTGTATTATCCTAACAAAACATTTTGGGTACCATTTCATTTTCTGTGAATGAGTTTTCAATTTGATGGTACGGTATAAATAGACATCACTAGTATGTACATACATAGTTTATGAAAAGCATAAAGTATCCAGCAAATTATAGTAATGCTTCGTATATATCTTGCAGTCCTGTATAATGTAAGATATATTTGATGGTCTTTGAGGAGTGTCTCAAAAATAATTTTGATTTTTTTTTAATTTACTAGCCACCACCAGGAAATGTCAAAATTCCTAATGTGCCCAATACACAACCTGCTATAATGAAACCAACTGAGGAACCACCTGCTTATACTCAAATTGCAAAGGTATATTTGGAATTATTTATAACAGAATCTCAGTAGTAAAAGTTAATGTTTTTAGGCAGACCATTTTTACTGCTTATTTCTGCATTTATTTTTCCTTAGGAGCATGCCTTGGCCCAAGCTGAACTGCTTAAGCGACAGGAAGAATTAGAGCGAAAAGCAGCCGAACTAGATCGCAGGGAAAGAGAAATGCAGAGTCTCAATCAGCAGGGAGGTATGTTGATGTATCTTAAGACAGTGTGCTGTGGTGATTCCCCAGAGCTGACATTGCAATGGAAGAAAATAAATTGGTGCTAGCAGTTTATTGTCTGAAATTTGTTAATCTTTGTTACGGTAGGTGGCAGCACCTAGCCCAGGGGTAGGCAACCCAAAACACTCAAAGAGCCACTTGAACCCGTTTCCCACCAAAAACAAAACACTGGGAGCCGCAAAACCCTTTTGATATCTAAAATGAAGATAACACTGCATATATCCTTTTTTATCTTTATTATAGGTGTGTGTGTGTGTGTGTGTGTGTGAGAGAGAGAGAGAGAGAGAGAGAGAGAGAGAGTGTTTGTGTATGTGTGTGTGTGTACTCTTGGGAATATCCATACTATTAAAACAATGATCACCGAGAGAATGCTTTAAGAGAATAAAATTACATACACACAAAGGTAAAAAAAGGATATATGCAGTGTTATCTTCATTTTAGATGTCAAAAGGGTCTCTCTCTCTCTGTGTCTCTCTCCCTCCCTCCCTCTCTGCCCTTGGTCTGCCACTCCTCTTCCCCTACTCTCTTTCTTTCTCTCTCTTTCCTCTCTCTCTCCCCCTCCCTCTCTCTCTCTCTTCTCTCTCTCTCTCTTTCTCCCCCCCCCCATCTGCTGCTCACCTGGCAAGCTTCAAGTTGTTCTCCAACAATCTCAGGGGTAGGCAACCTCGCTCTTTTATGACTCATGGACTTCAACTCCCAGAATTCCTGAGTCAGCCTAGCTGGGCTAGCTAGCTCTCTCCTGCCCTTCCTGCTGAGACGCAGCAAAGGGAGGAGCTCCACCCAGAAAGCTTTTCAGCTCCTCGGAGAACAATGTGAGTGCACTCTCTTTTACACATATACACACACACACACATACACACAAAACACACACACCCAGACACACACACACACACAGAGAGAGAGAGAGAGAGAGAGAGAGAGAGAAGCAGGGAAGTGCAATTGCCTCTCTCTGTCTCTCTCTGCAAAGGCAGAGGAGGCTGGGAGCCACAGGGGAAGGCTCAAAGAGCCGCATGCGGCTCCGGAGCCGCAGGTTGCCGACCTGTGACCTAGCCAGTCTTGACTAATCATAAAAAAGCTAGAAAATATCAATAATAATTCAGTAGAGACCATTAGGAAATTTCCAGACTGCAGACCAGGCTTAGAAAGCAAAACTATCCTAAATCACTTTCACTCTAGTTGCCAAAAAAACAATGTGGACCTGCCTGCATAGTCACCTGGAAGTGAACTGAGTTTGAGGAAGACTTCATCAGTTTTCTGTTAGAAGTGCAAGTAACAGATGACACTTTCAGACACTTGAGGCTAGATTACTCATAAGGAGATTGTTTTCTACTAATTTTAAACTATTGTTCTTCACATGAATGGTTTCCTTGGGGGTAGAAATAATTGTCAAGAGAGACAAAAGAAATTCCTAACTTAAATAATTGGGGAAAGGCCATTGTTACAAAACTTTAAGCATTTAGCCACTTCGGTTTTAGTTTACTTAAAGAACTTATGTTCCTTCTTTAAATAGAATAGCTGTGAAAATGAGCAGTCAGTGAAGGAACCGTGCAGCCTGGTCCATGATTAAATCTGTTGGTTGGTTTATTGATTGATGTTTGTATTCCATTAATTCAAGGACTCCAAATGACTGTTGCAGGAAAGATTGCCTAGCATTGCAATCTCAATTATATTCAACTCATCTTAATTGGAAGTTAAATGTGTTGTAATGATCCTATCTAGGCACTGGAATTTTGTGTTTTAAAAAGTGAATTATTTTAATTATTTTTTTTTATTACATTGTTTTCACAATTAAGCATAGGTGGGGGTCTTTTTTTCTCACTGAAGGCCAACATCACTTTCTGGGAGAACCTCTAGGAGATGAATACAAGAACATAGCAGGGCCACTGCTAGTAACGTTTTTTTCCTCATACCTACACTCATATACAACACTAATTGTGACATAGGAGACTATTTTGGTGAGATTCGAAGTGTGTGGAGTGAGTTAGGTCTTGTCTTTTGAGTTATGATTCCAACACAATAATTAGACTGAAAAAAGCTTCCATTGGCAGTGATGGCTTTTCTAAAAGGAAATTGCTGTGTAGAGTAGAAGCCACAGACTGGTGGTTCCACCTACTTTATGTAAAGCCTCTTTTAATGAATGCAGTTCCAAGCGAATATAAATAATGCCTGACTTCTGTTAATTCAGGAGCACAATATTTGTAGGATCTCAAAGCTTTTTTCAGCCAGTTAACCTTTCTCTGTGGGAAATTAAGTGTATGTTTGTTCGTATGTGTACATTGTTGTTTGAATGCAATCTGCTTAATCAGACAATCCATAAACTTTTCTTCAGAAATTATAAAATGAAAAATGTGAAGTGACCCTTAATGTGTACCAAAGCATTTGCCTTTTGCTCTTGTAGGAAGAAAGAATAATTGGCCTCCACTGCCAGGAAATTTCCCGGTGGGCCCTTGTTTTTACCAGGATTTCTCAGTAGACATTCCCGTGGAGTTCCAGAAAACAGTAAAGATTATGTACTATTTGTGGATGTGTAAGTAAAACCTAGGGAACATTTTTTAAAATCTTGAATTATATTTAGGTAATGTTTCAATGACAGAATATTTTCATAAGCAGAAGTTATCAAAAATTAAGCTTGTGCAATTCAGTCAGCACTTTGCTTTGCTACCTGTCTGGCATAACTTTTTATGAATATTCACATAGGGCCAGAAGACCTTGGAAGGGCCTGGAACTAATTGTACTTCATGGTTTCAAGGAATAGTTACATTGCAAAACCAAATTTGGACCACCGGGACCAGAGATTTACTCTTCCCAGCTTTCGGACTCATGCCGGAAGCCCATCTTCAGGGAATTTCTTTCTACTGGAATAAGTGCTTTGGGCTGTTCTGCGAGTTGTGTTTATGTGGTGCCTTCCTATTGGCTGATTGATGGCTGGCGATTGGCTATCATTTCCTTGTGCTGCCAAGTCCTCATCTCCTAAATATTTGATAAACTGGTAGTAAATCAGCACTTCTATTAACTGACAACAGGCCTGTTTCCCAGGCTTCAGTCGTTTCCCTGGCTATCTTTGTACCTGCATGGCCAATGATCTTAGAGCTGCGAAATTAAATGTATGTCCTTGTTCATTGCCTTGAGGCTACCAATGAATTTAGGTCTCCTCTCTGATTGCTCGCTTGTGTTCTTGCAATCTGGTGGTTAACTTTCTCCCCGTTTGTATTCCATAATCAGACGATGAAGCTCCAGCATTAGTCCGAAAGCTTGGAAAAGTAAATCTCTGGTCCCAGTGACCAACCCAAATTTGATTTTGCATTATTATCTTGGGACATGTATATTTCCTTTCATTGGTAATAGATATATTGTACAGGGATACTTCAAAGAGCCTTATTATTTGCAAAGGCCCATGAAGGATAGTGCCTCAGATATATCAACAGACACTGAAGATGTTATCTAGCCTGGTAACGAAATGTTCGGAAACCAACCCACAAGTTTGGAGAATGAACCTTCACCCTCATTTATATATTCTACTTAATTATTAAACCAGTAATCTCTCCAATTTGTTCCAGCAACAATATTTAAACATTTTCAAAAACTGCTATTAAAAACTGCTTTATAGGGTGGTTTGGTTCAAGCTAGCTTTGGACAAATTGCTAGTTGCAGGTGACAGTAGTGGTGGGTGGTAATAATAATTTCCCACCTGGATTTTTGTTTTCTCGATTATCTTGACATTCACTTTTCAAAGCCAGCCAATTGTAAAAATATTTAGTTATCTAAAACTAGTATTCCATTTATTTATAAATACTTGACTGGTGTATCCTGTCCAGCATTTCATCAAGATATAATTGGAGAACAATTGACTGTATATAGTTTTAATAAATTGTTGGGTATTTAGATGCACAAAATATATCTTACTAGGCAATTAGGTAATATTTAAAACTGTTCAGTTTAACCAGTAAATAACTGATTTTGCCTAATTACCTGCTGAAAGAATAAAGTGAGGACTAGAAAAAGGAACTTCTTTAATATGTGCCAGGGGTAGGCAACCTCGGCTCTTTTATGACTCGTGGACTTCAACTCCCAGAATTCCTGAGCCAGCATGGCTCAGCTTGGAAATCTCTCCCTTTCCCCTCAGCATGGCTGGCTCAGGAATTCTGGGAGTTGAAGTCCACGACTCATAAAAGAGCCAAGGTTGCCTACCCTTGATATAGGCCAAGTTGTAGAACATGTAGCCTGCCAGTTATTAAACTACAACTCTTAGCAGTTTCACCCATCAGTAAGAGATGATGAAAATACAGTTTACCAATATTGTAAGCATACACTGTAGAATGTTTCTCATCCTTGATGTAGCATACTGCTACTATTGTAAGTAATAACTGATACACAAACTGTTCTGCTGTTACAGTAAATTGTAATAACCAGTGGGAGAAGAGCAGGCTGAGCTGGAAAATGGGGTTAAATGTGTCATCACTTAGAGTCATTGCATTGCCACAAGAGACCCAAGTCCAGCCCTCATGGATTCCATTGACCCTTATCAAGTGCCAATTTAGCTTTGACCGCTACTTGACTGGATTCTTGTATAGAGGTAGCCATAATAAACTCTTTGAACTCAATGAATGCTCCTGGTTATTTGTGCCTGATATTTTCAAGATTTTCCTTCTACAAATTTGAAATGTTCCATGCTGCATATGCAATATACGGTATGTGTCAAAGCCTAACCAGAATCCTATACCAACTTTGTACTTAATGTAGAATTCTACCACCAAGTTTTCTAAATTCGTACATGAAAACTTTCATATTAAGTATATGTACAAATGATCACAATTTCTTTATGTAACTTAACTTTTTTATCTAATAAGAACTTGCAAATGATTTAAGCAGTATATAATTTGATATAACTAATTGTAGGGTATTGTGCTATTCCTGTATGTATTTATTGGCCCAGCTTTCAGATAATTAAATAGTATCTAAAAAAATTGTACATCCTATAATTATTGTAGAAACATCAGCTGCTACAACAAGTACCACTGCTTGCTTCTGTAGCTGGGAAATTTGGCAATATAAAGGGTTAATTTTTATTACAGAAGTAAAACCTTTACTGTATCATACTTTCACAAACACATAAATTGTTATAATCCAGGACTAGTATTGAAAGGGTCACTGAAAGGTTATTTCAGTCTGGTTTTTTTTTTTCAAAATTATATAATTGGAATGATTGGGATTTTAATTGCTTAGAAAAAGACTTTTAATTTAATTTAACATTTACTGTATTCCATGTAATTTATTTTGTGGGAAAGTATGATACTATTTGGCAATTATGAATAGATGCGTATTGGTCTGGTGGTTAATCATTTATAGTGGTCAAGATAATTACGGATAGTCCTTATCTTACGACCACAATTGAATCCTAAATTTCCATTGGTGAGCAAGAAAATTGTTAAGTGAGTTTTGCCAAATTTTACGACCTTTCTTGCCACAGTTGTTAAGTGAATCACCGCAGTTGTAAATTAGTAACATGGTTCTTAAGCAAATCTAGCTTCCCCATTGACTTTACTTGTCAGAAGGTGGCAAAAGATGATCGCGTGACTCAGGATTCTGCAACCATCATAAATGTGAGCTAATTGTCAAACACCTGAATTTTGATCACGTGACCACAGGGATGCTGCAGTGGTCATAAATGTGAAAAATAGTCATAGGTCACTTTTTTCGGTGCCGTTGCAACTTCGAACAGTCACTAAGTGAATGGTTGTAAGTCAGGACTATCTGTACTGAAAATCATTCTCATCGTCAGTATTGTTTTTAAAATAAAAGATTTCTATTTGATATTATTTACATATGCAGAGGTTCTAAGCAGACACACTTTTTAAAATGCTGCATGCAAGAGCTCTTCCCCCTGAAAAACATAATTGAGTGATATGGAAGAATAAAAAGAGACAACAGTTAAGGGAATTGCCATGAAAAACCTACTACCCTAAGACAGAAAGATGAGTGGGAAAAGCATCTATTGTTCTTTAAAATAATTTCTGAGGCTGATAAAAGCTGAGTATGTTACTATAGTACTTTCCTTTGAGGTAGGAACTAATTGGCCATGTTCTTCATCTGGCAACACGTATATACTGTGGAGCATAATGAATATAGAATACTGTAATAATGAATCCAGAATTTGATTCTTAGGGATGACTCCTTTCTATGAGTTTCTAATATAATGGGCATTTCTGATACAGTAGAGATTGTTATCTCTTTCTGCAGCTGCATCTGATCCCCTCCAAAAATTTCCTCCATAGAATTGTGGTAATGACACTAGGAACTATATTGGTAGGGAAAATAGAGGAGGGGGGGGGGAAATCTCACATCCTTCCAGTGTTGCTAACAATGTTTTGAACAGAACACCACTCAAAGCACCTGACTGCTGGGTGACAAAAGTTTACATCCAACCCAGAGTATGCTTGGGGTACTGTATGCTGTTTGAGGTAACATGTCAGATATTTCTGCTCCAACTTATTCCTTTATGTAAGGGTGAGAAACCTGTGGCCTTCTAGATACTGTATATCTGAATTACAATATATCATAGTTTCATGAAGGGCTACAGATTTCCTTTCCTTTTGGAAAAGCAGGCTTTATCTCAGTATCTCATATCCAAGCTTTTGTGTCAATATTATGGATTTTCAAATTCCTCCTTCTGTCTGGATTTCCTATAAAGCATGTGAGCCTTATCTAAAATCACAGTATCCTCTAATAGTCTCCCGTAAGGGATTAAGAGGTGGTATCATAGATATTCCTCTTCCCTTTCCATGCAACCCTTTGTTGATGATTCCTGGCTAATACATACATTTTGAATAGTTGTTGGAAGAATGCTTAAAAATAGGTTTTTAACATAGAATTCTAAAAAAGATTCATTCAACTGATTACAGTGACAAAATTCTGATTGATGAAGGTAACTTATTCAGTTTGATATATTGTTCTGTTATTAGTTATAGAGATATAGAAGCTCAATTTTAACCTCTTCTCTTCTCTTCTCTTCTCTTCTCTTCTCTTCTCTTCTCACAGTCCATGCTGTGACATTATTTCTTAATATTTTTGGATGTCTAGCCTGGTTTTGCCTTCAGCCCAGGCGAGGAGTAGACTTTGGACTGAGTATTCTCTGGTTCTTGCTTTTTACCCCATGTTCATTTGTCTGCTGGTATAGACCACTTTATGGAGCCTTCAGGTAAAATTATTATCTAAATTGTAATTTGTTCTATTAAAAGGGTATATAATTGATTTATATATTTCGCTTAATTAAAAAAAAGTAGTACTCAAATTATGACCACAATTGAGCCCTTTTACGACCTTTCTTGCCACAGCTGTTATGTGAATCATTCCAGTTCTTAAATTAGTAACACAGTTGTTAAGTGAATCTTGTTTCCCCATTGACTTTCTTTGTCAAAAGGTTGCAAGAGATGATTACATGACCTTGGGACATTGCAGCTATCATAAATATGAGCCAGTTGCCAAGTGTCCAAATTTTGATCACGTGACTTTGGGATGTCGCAGTGGTCATAAGTGTGAAAAAAACAGAAGTCACTTTTTTCAGTGGCATTGTAACTTCAAATAGTCATTAAATAAATAGTTATAAGTCGAGGACTACCTGTACAAAAATATAGCTATCTAAAATATCATTTAACTCAAGTTTTACAAATTTAGTGTCAATATACAGTAAACTGAATAATATTGAAAATTGATTTTTTGGTTTCTTTTGTACCATTTGGATGTACAGCTAATCCCCAAGTTAAGACAATAATATATCCATTATGGTCATACATTATGACACATGTATAGCAGATCATCGCATGACCAACCTAATTTTATTATTGTAGTGCTTGTTAAGTGAATCCATTGTTTGCTATAGGGTGTTTTTGCCAAAAACTGGAAATAAACCTCAGGTTTTGGCAAAAATATTGTAAATTGTGATCACATGACTGTGGGATACCACAAATGCTATAAATGTGTACCAACCGTCCAGCATCCGAAATGCCGCCATGGGGGGGGGCTCAGAACTTTGGCATTGGGGTGGGGGTCTATCATAATTTCAAACAGTTGCTAAGCAGCGACTTGTAATTTGAGGATTACCTGTATTTGCTTAATCAGCAGTTTACTTGGAAGGGATCCCAAACTCCTCATAACAATGGTAGACTTGAAATAATACATGAAGTTGACACCATGCAGTTATCAGAAGGTGTCAGTTGGACAGTGGTTGGTCTATCATGCTTCCTCACAAATCATTGTTGAGAACAATTTATCTTTTGAAGTAACTCTGGACTGGAGTATAATAATATAGTAGAGCATATAGGGAGAAGCTGTTCAAGACATAAAAGAACCTGTGCAGGACAATTGAGAATCTAAGCTGGTGTACCACTGAATTAGATTTCCTCTAAAATATTCTTTTCATGCATTCCTCTAAAATCAAGTAATATTCCACTTTTCTTGGAATGCTAGCTGAGCAAGAAAATAGCAAAGGAAAAATTGCTAGTGGACTTCTTAATGAATAAATAAATGACCATATAGTTTGAAATCTAGTTTCCTGTACTTCTTTTACAATATTGGTAAGCTTATTTTGTAGTTGCTTTGTTTGCTTTTTAACTACTGTGTTTTGCATGTGATGTTTAACTTTCTGGTAGTGTTTATTATATTCAATTTGGTAAGAATGCTTCTGAAAGTTCCTATTTCCAGGGGTTTTATACAGTCATAAAACAGAATTTATATACAAAATAGATGTTTGTTCTGTTAACCTGAGAGATATGATAGACTTGCTATTTTGCTTGGCAAGTATTATGAGAATATCTCATTTTTTTCTTTCCTTCTCTTTCAGGAGCGATAGCTCCTTCAGGTTCTTTGTTTTCTTCTTTGTCTACATTTGTCAATTTGCTGTGCATGTCCTTCAAGCTGTAGGATTCCAAGGTTGGGGGAACTGGTAAGTGTCCTGTTGTATTATTCTTCGGTAAATATATGTAGTGAGAGCAATAGCTTGCCATTTTTGCAAAAGTATTATAGCCCCATGAGAAACATTTCTTTTTAAATATTTTATAAACTTAAAAAGGTGTTTGCAATAATAAGGTATTATCTGAATCAGTAGGCAAGTGGTGTCAGGAATCAGAGCATGCCAAGAAGTAGTGGGTGCCAGGCCAGGCCATTTGCTAGTCGCTGCTTACTTGCAAAGAGGATGTCTGTTGAAGGAATAACACATGCCTACTATCCTTGTCATATGTGCTGATGGAGGCTTCTCATTTGCCCAGATATCAGAAACTGGAGAAAACTTCACTGGTGGGTAGGGGGTAAGGAAATCCTTTAGTTCAATTTTGCATGGAGTCTAGTTCTCATAGCAGTCCAAAAGAAGCCTTTACTGCAGTTTAAATTGTACCTTCTTGTGCAGAAGTGGGCAACCATTGGCCAAATATTGTTGAACCACAGTTTCCAACAATCCTAATTCCAGTATGTTGAATTGAGACTGATAGGAGCTGTTCAACATTTTGAAGGTGACATGTTCTTTTAGATTACTAATTTCTGCCTATCTCCCAGTCTTAATTCAAATTCATTCTGCCTGGATTGCAGTAATTGTTCTATCCTTTTTTTTTCTTTATATATCTAATTTGGTTCATGTATTGTAGTTTTGCTACAGCAAGCTGAATGCTGGAATAATATTACAAGAATAGCTCTCTTAACCTATGCTCATATTTTTAAGTGAAAATATGGCCTATTGGATTAATAAAAAAGGAGAATATGTCTCTATAATTTTATTGTGTGTATGGCCAATCTAGGCTTCATTAACATCCTAGAATCTGAAAAAAACCCAGATCCGTAAAGCCTCAACATTCATTAAAACTAAACAGACAAATTAATTGTTTTAGAATTTTAAACCACCCGGTTACTTGGTTGAGTTGGAGGGCTATAGTAATTGATTGGCTGGCTGGCTGAATGTATGAATGAAGCAAGCCAAGTGTATAAGAGACATCCTTATCTTGGGCAATTGTCATTATTTCACAAAAGGGACCTAGAGCAAGTTTACTCTGCCAGATCTCATGGGATAAGCAGAACCATTGAAGACAGGTGGTTATATAAGTACTCTGACCTTGTGCCATGCAGGCTTTATTTGAATTGCACCAAGAATCCTACTTGATTCAGTGCAACTCTTGTACCAGTGGTGATATGCAAGTGTACTAGGATGCATCCAAAACTGCACGTGTAATTGCATTCTGGACCAACTGTAGCTTCCAAAATCAAAACTGCAGCTTTCCAAAAACTTTTCAAGGGCTGCTCCATGCACAGCATCTTTCAATATTCCATTGGGAAGCAACTAAGGCATATGTGATCATGAGCAGAGCTTCCTAATCTAGGAACAAGCGGAAATTGGCACAAAGTATGCATTTATGAAAAAGCTCTCTTGTCAAGATATTCCCTGCTTCTTGAGTTGGAGCCATGTTTCCAGGTCCCCCCTCCCCTCCTGAATGAACATCAACTTTCTCTGTAAGTACTACAGTACTACCTAAATAATATAACTCTAAAGCTGAGTCTTTCCCCTACTGATAAACCTTTTCTTTGTCGATATTCATAATTGGAACAATTACATTATTTGGCATGTAAGAATGTCTGAAACAGAATTTGTATGGCAAATTTACTGCTTATGGAAAGATGTCAGCTGTGAAGATAGCATTTAAAATGTTCTGATTTCAGAAGCAATAAAGAAGCTAACAGATTTTTCATAGTTGTTTTCCTTACTAACTGTTTTCCTTACTAACCACTGTTTTGGTCAAATTTTAACTATACCACATGCTGTAAATAATTGAGCTTTGTTTCCTATCCATAGGCATATGGTTTAAATAAAAGTTCAAGAATTCTTCCTTATGGCATAAAATATGACATAATTAATAGTCCACATTTTCAAGTAGTATCTAAGTCAGGAAAGGAAAGCTTAACTGAGTAGTTGTGTAATTTAAACAGCAACTTTCAATATGCTTATATGAGATATACTTTATTAAATGTAATTCTGGTTTAATATAACAAAGGCAATTTACAAAATTCAGTAAGATTGTAAAAGAATTCAGGACTGCTTATTTCCCACCCATCAAAAAAATTAATAATCTGAAGTATTTGTGTTTTCAGTTCTTTTAGGAGTGGGTTTTTAAAATATGTTTTAAGAAATTCCTCTGTAATCCATAGGAAGAAATGATATTTTCCTGTAAAACATAATGATGGAGGGAAAAATAGCCATACTTCTTTAAAGACTGTTATAGATGTGTTTTTTAGAGCTCTCTGTATTTTCTTTAGTGGATGGATTTCATCTCTCACTGGACTTAACCAGAGTATTCCAGTAGGCATTATGATGATAGTCATAGCAGCACTTTTTACAGCTTCTGCGGTCATCTCACTAATTATGTTTAAAAAGGTAAGTGTTTTTTCCATCCAGAAAAATGGAATTCTTTAAACATGTTTTAGTCAACTCAACTGATTATGGTTATAAAAATAAATAACTATAATCAGTTGGCTTGACAAAATTCTTTCTTGATGCTATTCACATTTGGTTTACCATTTTTAGAAATGAAATAAAATAGATTTCTTTCATTGTTAAATTTAAAATAACATAATAGCAAATTAGTTTGATTTAGAGGATGTTTGGTTTTAAGATCTCTTGTGAAGAGAACCCATTATGAACATAGGAATTTTTTTCAAAAGATTACATCAACAAAAAATACTTTGTTCTTTCCTGCAGTATCTCTCAAAAATTATGCATTTTAATATTTAGAAACTAGATGCATCACATTCAATTTTAAAAACATGAACTCTTGCCATAAGAATTTTCTTATCCATCTTTTCTCTGTAGTCTTCCATCATTCTGGTCAGGATTAAGGATTTGTTCAGTTGCACATGCTTTTATTTACTGTTTTAAAATATGATAAATGGAAAAATATAAACAAATGTTTAATTGAAGAAATAATAAAAGTAGTTAACATACATGTGAGAACAAATAGACGAGGAAAGAAATAACAATATGATAACAATATCACATTTCATTCGGAGGATGAAATACCCTTGGCAATACTCACAAGGGTATTAAATCATAAACTTTCTGAGGAATGTTAAGACCACAAAAATGGACATATGAATAAGATAAGCAATATATATGTCTGATTCTTATTTCAAATATATATGCACATAAAACAGCTGCTATGGTAATTAGCAGTTTACTCAAAGTCAAGGAGATAACAGCAGACAACAAATGAAAACAAAAACAGTCTCTGAAAAGAGCTTACCTAAACAGTTGCTTTTAACAGCAGCACGCAAAAGACTAGTCAAAATTCAGTCCAAATTTTTAAGAGCCAAATCAGGGTTGTCAGCTAGGCCAGAGGCCAGAATTTCTCAGAGTCCAAGTGAACCTTGCACAAGAGCCAGAGATCAAATACTGGTACCGTATATGCCGGCGTATTAGGCGACCCGGCGTATAAGACGACCCCCGTCTTTATAGCCGAGCTGCATTCCTAGAACGTCGTCTTATACGCTGGAAACTACCAGTATTTCTGGCGTATAAGAGGACTCAGTGTATAAGACGACCCCCGTCTTTGGCACCGAGTTTAGCGCTTCCGGAAGTCGTCTTATACACCGGCATATACGGTAGTTGATTCCAATGAACAAAAATGGGTCAGGTCTGTCTCTTAAATCAGGCTGCAGCCAGCTGTCTTTAATCAAAAGTTTTACTCATTTATTTATTTATTTTCAGTGTTTATATGCCGCCCAATCCCAAAGGACTCAGGGCGGTGTACAAAGTTAAAACAATGATAAAACAATAAAATAAAGCAGTCATACCGCGAGTCCGATCATATCCCTCCCCCCCGGGGACATCAGCCCCAGGCCTGCCGGAACAGGAGGGTTTTAACGGCCTTCTTAAAGGCCGGCAGGGTGGGAGTAGTTCGAACCTCGGGGGGAAGTTGATTCCACCAGGTCGGAGCCACCACAGAAAAGGCCCTTCCCCGAGGGCCCGCCAACCGACATTGTCTGGCCGACGGGACCTGAAGGAGGCCCAATCTATGGGACCTCACCAGTCTCTGGGAGCTGTGCGGCAGAATGTGGTCCTGTAAGTAACCTGGCCCTATGCCATGAAGGGCTTTAAAGGTGATAACCAACACCTTGAATTGCGTCCGGAGACCCACAGGAAGCCAGTGCAGCTCGCGGAGGATAGGTGACACGTGGGCGTACCTTGGCGCGCCCACAATCGCTCTCGCGGCTGCGTTCTGAACCAACTGCAGCCTCCGAACGCTCTTCAAGGGTAGCCCCATGTAGAGCGCGTTACAGTAATCCAGTCTTGAGGTGACAAGGGCATGAGTGACTGTGAGTAAAGCCTCCCGGTCCAAATAAGGCCGCAACTGGTGCACTAGGCAAACCTGTGCAAAGGTCCCCCTGGCCACAGCCGATAGATGTTGTTCCAGATTTAGCTGCGAGTCCAGGAGGACACCCAAGTTGCGTGCCTGCACTGAGGGAGGTAAATTTGCCCCCCCCCCAGGACTAAAGATGGACCATCCAGTTGGCCTTTGGGAGGCAAGACCCAGAGCCACTCGGTCTTGTCAGGGTTGAGTCTAAGCCTGTTCACCCCCATCCAGACCCTCACATCTTCCAGGCACCGGCACATCACGTCGACTGCTTCACTGAAAGGACACGGGGTGGAGATATATAATTGGGTATCATCCGCGTACTGATGATACCTCACCCCGTGTCGCCGAATGATCTCACCCAGCGGTTTCATGTAGATGTTAAAAAGGAGGGGGGACAGGACCGAGCCCTGAGGCACCCCATAATCGAGGCGCCTAGGGGTCGATCTCTGTCCGCCCGCCAACACCGACTGCGACCTGTCGGAGAGGTAGGGGGAGAACCACCGCAATACGGTGCCGCCCACCCCCACCTCTCCGAGATAACGCAGAAGGATACCATGATCGATATCAGTATCTTTTATACTGATAACTTGCTTGGCAAGGAGCCTCATAGAATAACTCTGCTCTGCTCTGTATTCTATTCACTGTGTGTGGGGCTGGGTAGTCTTGGATCATGGTAATCTGGCTGTTCTATCTGTGGTGCCTGTGTTTGATCAACCTCAGGTAATACTTGGCTCTTTGTCTTCTGAGGCTGAATTCTGCAGGTTCTGCTGGAGCCTTTTCCTCTGCGTCTGAGTCATCTGAGTTCTGGCCCTTAATAATATATACTATATTACTTTAATGTTTAGAGGCTGGTAAACAGAAATTGTCCTTTGATACACCTCAAATAGATTCAGTTTCCATTTTTTCAATTGTTATAATAGGTGTCATTGAAATATTGTGTGGCCTTTTTTATTTGACCACTAGGGGTCATAGTTTCTGCTTACAACTAGACTACCTTCTGCCATAGTGCAATAGGCATGCCAGAAAAAAAAAAGAAAAAACTTATTCCTGTGAGTTGAAATATCAACAGTATTTTAACTAGCTAAAGCACCTCCCTTAAAATAAATTGGATCTAAAAAATTATTAGGGAATACTTTTCTCTTTGTCAAGTACTGACTTCAAGCACTAATCTGTTAACTTCAGCCAGCATGTTCAAGGAATTGTTGGTAATTTAGAAGAGATTTTTAAACGTGTGAAAAGTTTTTATTTGATTTTAGTCTACTATAATTAAAAGTTGTTAGGCTAAAACAAAAGGGTATCATTCCACTCTGGCTTTCCAACTTAGCTCTGTGCATATCAAATACCTATTTCTATCAAAAGATTTCAGTTAAATTTCGCTTCGTATTTGGTGAATTTTTTTCAACGTTTCTCAGCTCCATGTATTTGTTCAGCAGGCAGAACCTATTAGGCCCATTACCAGTTTCTTACTTATAATATTCATCCTGTTTGATTTATCATGATGATCTAAAATCGCCATATAGGATGTTTCTTTGAACCATAATAACTTCTATCCATGAAAATCAGTGTTCATAGATGTCTAATATACTCCTGTTGACATACACAGTGGAGCAAAAAAGTATTTAGTCAGCCACCAATTGTGCAAGTTCTCCCACTTAAAAAGAGGAGAGAGGCCTGTAATTGTCATCATAGGTAGACCTCAACTATGAGAGACAAAATGAGAAAACAAATCCAGACAATCACATTGTTTGATTTGGAAAGAATTTATTTGCAAATTATGGTGGAAAATAAGTATGTGGTCAATATCAAAAGATCATCTCAATACTTTGTTATATATCCTTTGTTGGCAATGACAGAGGTCAAACATTTTCTGTAAGTCTTCACAAGGTTGGCACACACTGTTGCTGGTATGTTGGCCCATTCCTCCATGCAGATCTCGTCTAGAGTAGTGATGTTTTGGGGCTGTCGCTGGGCAACACGGACTTTCAACTCCCTCCAAAGGTTTTCTATGGGGTTGAGATCTGGAGACTGGCTAGGCCACTCCAGACCTTGAAATGCTTCTTACGAAGCCACTCTTTCATTGCCCAGGCGGTGTGTTTGGGATCATTGTCATGCTGAAAGACCCAGCCATGTTTCATCTTCAATGTCCTTGCTGATGGAAGAAGGTTTGCACTCAAAATCTCACGATACATGGCCCCATTCATTCTTTCCTGTATACGGATCAGTTGTCCTGGTCCCTTTGCAGACAAACAGCCCCAAAGCATGATGTTGCCACCCCCATGCTTCACAGTAGGTATGGTGTTCTTTGGATGCAACTCAGCATTCTCTCTCCTCCAAACACGACGAGTTGTGTTTCTACCAAACAGTTCTACTTTGGTTTCATCTGACATAGGACATTCTCCCAATCCTCTTCTGGATCATCCAAATGCTCTCTAGCAAACTTCAGACGGGCCAGACATGTACTGGCTTAAGCAGGGTGACACGTCTGGCACTGCAGGATCTGAGTCCCTGGCGGCGTAGTGTGTTACTGATGGTTGCCTTTGTTACGTTGGTCCCAGCTCTCTGCAGGTCATTCCCTAGGTCCCCCCGTGTGGTTCTGGGATTTTTGTTCACCGTTCTTGTAATCATGTTGACCCCATGGGGTGAGATCTTGCGTGGAGCCCCAGATCAAGGGAGATTATCAGTGGTCTTGTATGTCTTCCATTTTCTAATTATTGCTCCCACAGTTGATTTCTTCACACCAAGCTGCTTGCCTATTGCAGATTCAGTCTTCCCAGCCTGGTGCAAGTCTACAATTTTGTTTCTGGTGTCCTTTGACAGCACTTTGGTCTTCACCATAGTGGAGTTTGGAGTGTGACTGTTTGAGGTTGTGGACAGGTGTCTTTTATACTGATAACAAGTTCAAACAGGTGCCATTAATACAGGTAATGAGTGGAGGACAAAGGAGACTCTTAAAGAAGAAGTTACAGGTCTGTGAGAGCCAGAAATCTTGCTTGTTTGTAGTAGGTGACCAAATACTTATTTTCCGCCATAATTTGCAAATAAATTATTTCCAAATCAGACAATGTGATTGTCTGGATTTGTTTTCTCATTTTGTCTCTCATAGTTGAGGTCTACCTATGATGACAATTACAGGCCTCTCTCATCTTTTTAAGTGGGAGAACTTGCACAATTGGTAGCTGACTAAATACTTTTTTGCCCCACTGTATGCTAAGAAATCAATTTTATTTATTTGGCTTTACTTAGGATATAGGGCGACTCAGTGGCTTAAAAGGTCTGTGCTCCAGCAGTTCGAGTCCTACCACTGCGTGACAGACTGAGCTCCTGTCACGTGCCCCAGCTCCTGCCAACCTAGCAGTTCAAAAGCATATAAATGCAAGTAGATAAATAGGTACCACTTCGATGGGAAGGTAACAACATTCCGTGTTTTGCCACATGCTCTGCGGCTTGATGTCATGCTGACCATATGACCTCGGAAACACCTTTGGACAGTGCTGGCTCAGTGGCCTAGAAACAGAGATGACCACTACCCTCTAAACTTGGCTACGACTAGCAAAATAAAACACACAGGGATTCCTTTATCTTTACCTTAGTTAGGATGCAATTATATATAATGGTGTTTATAACAAGTCACAGTGGTGTCAAAATGATGGAAGTATGTTGTAACGTTTTTAAGCAAATAATGCTTATGTTTTGTAAAAAGTAAAAACATTGGACAAAGAAGAAAAATCAAGAGTTTGCAATGTCTGCAAATATTGTAGGCCATCTCAAAGTCCGTGCCATGACTGAAAGTGGTGGTTAAATTCAGCATTTTCCTTTTAATTGGGGGCCTAAAACTTTTGGTTAAATTCTGTATAATGGGTACGTCTTGAATCATGCCTCAAATTTTCTCTTTGGCCTTCTTTATAGGTACATGGTTTATATCGTACAACTGGAGCAAGTTTTGAGAAGGCCCAACAAGAATTTGCAACGGGTGTGATGTCCAACAAAACTGTACAAACTGCTGCAGCAAGTGCTGCCTCAACAGCAGCAACCAGTGCTGCTCAAAATGCTTTCAAGGGTAATCAAATATAGACAAAAGAAATGAAACACATTACAAATTTCTGGCTGTCCTTTATTTTTCAGTCCCTAAAGACTTATGTTTAAAATGCACACAGCATGTATGTCTTTTCAGCTGTGCATGGGCTAAGACAGAAAAAGATCATTTCATTCCTTTTAGAATTTTGTAATGAGAAGTTCTTCCTAGCTACTCTATTACCTTACAATAGTTATTTTTTTTTCTCCATATTTTTGGAGGTACATGATATTTGATGAAAATTAAAACAGTAGTTTTAAAATTTGTACTAAAAGTTTAGCTTCTGAGATAAGCAAATGATTTTGTTTTTCCATGGTGTGTCGCTCTCCGTGGAACTGTTCCTCCTGACTTGAGAAAAGCACTTTGAATTAACCCTGTTCATAACACTTTGCTTCCCTGTTTTCGTAAGAAACAAAAGTAGCTGACAATTTTGAACATTAACTTTTAGCTGCTGCTTTGTAGCTCCAGCAGCTGATGAAGGACAGACGTAAGCTTAAAATAAGTATGATAGATAATGTAAATTCTTTTTTTAGGAGAATAGATTTTTTTAATACTCGGAGTCTGCATGAAAATTTTTTGACCATGCTGCACTAGTGTTCTGGTCCACAAATTGTCTATCAGTCTGGTTATAGTATTTGTTAAGATCTGTTTTCATGGTGTATATAGTGTGCTAACAGATATCTTCATTCAAGTAATGCAACATGAAGTGAAAAGAATTATGTTTTAACTGAGGCAGAGTTGTTATATTTGTTCTTTTTGATTTCACTATTCATGATTAGGAAGCACATATTTCTAAACAGAATCTGTTTAGCAATATTTAAAACACTAATAATAGCTAGTCCATTCTGACTTATGTTAAATTGTAGTGGAATTTATTTTGTGCTTCAGAATTTTGACATTTTTAAAGTGTGCATTTGTGTTTAATGCTATTATATCATTAGTCTTGTCAGTCACTCTGTTTAGTATTTGTATAAACATCTGAATATTCAGTAACTTATTTAAATTTTTAACATTACTATAGACCCTAATCAGGCTTTTAAACATTGATAATTATGTACTTGAATTCTTTTAACATACTTCAGCCTTCATATAAGATTTAATCTGAATGTGCATTTTATTAAATGCAAATTGAAGATATACTTTATCACAATTAGTCTAGTGTGGTGCTATATGGCAGCTTTTTGTTATTTTAATTCATATTCTATTAATTACCTCTTGAGGTCACTGTTTCCTTTTTGAGTTTCTAAATTCTAGGTGTTAATATATGATAATTTGAAACATACTATGGATTAACCACTTGAATGGTATTCCATTCCTGTCATTAAGAGATTTTTATTTTTCTATTGGGTAACATACTATAGTGGCGAATTTGATTTTCTTGAATTCTGATATAACATTAATTTGAAAAAAAATAATTCATCATGTTCTAAATTTCCCCACCTGGAGTGCAAACATGTCGTCTTTAACATGTTCCGTAGAATCTCAGGTTGTAATGTTTGGAGAGGACCTTAGATGGCACCTGATCCAGTCTTTCTCAACCTTGGCAATTTTAAGATGTGTGGGCTTCCTGACTGGCTGGGAATTTTGTAGAATCCTAACAACGGCTATCCTGGCTCTGAATATGCAGGGAAGAGTCCACCACTTCCCAAGGCAGTCTTGTTCCATTGTTGAATAGCTTTTACTATTTTCCTTGATCTCTGGCTGAACTTTGCTTCCTTGTAATCTAAATCCATTATTTGTCTTTTGGAACAATTCTGATCAATCCTGGCCTGATTTCTACATGACAGCCATTTGTCCGAAATGGTATAGGGTTTCCTACCTGAGCAGGGGTTGGACTAGATGACCTCCAAGGTCCCTTCCATCATCATCATCATCATCATCATCATCATCATCATCATCATCATTATTATTATTATTATTATTATTATTATTATTATCAGAAAGAGGCACTGGGTTAGGTTAGCATGATTTATTAATAAATGTACCTTTCCTAAATACTCAAAAAATGTACATAAACCCATTGCTTAATTATTCTAGGAATTCTCTGAGTATTGACATCAAGCTGGCCAGAGTTTTCTTTGGGGGGGGGGCAGGAATAATATTTAGAAGAGATATTTGTATCTCACATGGGGCACAATGGCTCAGATGAAAGCTTGTCACCTGGAAAGCTGACAGCCCAGATTTGAGACCTCAGTACTGTGCAATGGGGTGAGCTCCTGTTTTTTGCTCCATCTCCTGCCGACCTAGCAGTTTGAAAGCATGCAAATGTAAGTAGATTGATACCACTTCAGTGGGAAAGTAGCAGCATTTGGTACACCTTTGACATGCTGGCCACATGACCACGGAAAATGTCTTTGGACAATGCTGGATCCCTTGGCCAAGAAACAAAGATGAACACTGTGTCCTTGAGTTGGACACGACTGGACAGGAGAAACTTTTACCTATTTGTATTACAGAGTTGAGCAGTGGGGTCCTTGGTGCTCTCTGAGCTTAGCTGTTTTCTTACGAACATTTCATCAGCAAACTAGGTAATATCTTCAGTGCTGGAAGAGAGTGGGGTTTCGTCACCAGCAAACAACACCCATATGAGCAGAAATTAACACTAGACCAACAATCAAGAAATAAACAATATTCCAATCAAGGAATCGCCAGTGAATACAAACTAACTGTAAAGAACAGCCTAATCAAGAAATCACCAAGCTCACTCATGACAGTGTAGTATATAAAAGAAAAACAAACCCCACTCCATACTAACACTGATGATGTTACCTAGTTTGAGAATGAATGTTTGCAAGAAAATTACCAAGCTCAGAGAGCACCAAGGACTCCACGGGAATAACATTTGCCCTTCTCCAACCCTGTGATTCCAGCCATGATTTCTTAAAGATCATAAGGGCTCCTAGATGACATTTGCAGGCTCTTTCAGAACTCTTGAATGTAATTGGTCACATTCTGGAGACTTAAATCCGTTCTTGGAAGCCAGGTGTTTCCTAGCCTTTTAATTATCTTGGATTACTATTGGATTTCAGTATTTACGATCTTTTCTTTGTTCCTTTCTTTACTTTTACTTACATACTAATGTTTATATCTCACCCAGCTCCAGAGACTTCAGGCAGTTAACAGTGTATAAAATTTACAGAATTAATAAAGTAGATGTTTTATTTCTTTTTCATGTATTTATTTCAATCCTTGATCCCTAACGCATGGCCACTTTAATTGCTAATCATTTAAATCTTACTGAGGAAACTGTGTTCACATTTATTAAAGGATCTAATTTTTCTCAGGTGATAAAGCAGATTGAAACTTGAAATATATAAATGTGGGCCTAATTTGCAGTAGGTCTGGTAGTCATGTTAGTTCCAGCAGGTAGAACACATGTTGATTATAATGTCCATTTTCATTCTTCTAAACCATAATAAAAAAAATGGACTCATATGGACACATAATGAACTTATTCTTCCAGATTAAATCAAAATTAATGTAATGAGTAAACTATTATTCGCAATTTCTTATTGTTCACTATGACAGAAGGCTGTTGTATGTTAAATATTTAACAAACAAATGCTATCAAAGTCTGTTGGTGAACAAGTCTACACCTATTACTACACTAATTTTGTAAACACCCAGTTGTAATGGTTTTTAGGTCATACTAGAATGTCAATTGTTTTTCATTTCTAATTTTGGCATTGGAGATATTTAGGTGAGGAAAGTCTGTATATTTTGTAAATTACTAGTGATGCTTTGCCATCCTTGTGAATGTGACAATTCTGTATAAATGCACACAGATACTGTGATACTGCATGTCTGGGTAGTTCTGCATATTTATTGTATCATTTCAGTGACATAGAATAAAATGATTCCTGATTATTTGCTCTGTATAGTTTAAAAAATAAAGTAGGGTCTTTTGTAAAATGCAAGATAAAATACCAAAAGGCTAATATGTACAGTAAATACTAGGTTTTTGTCCCAGTTCAGCTCTAGTCCTGGAGGCAGAATGTGGATGAAGATTTATTTGGAACATTGTCATGTGGATCAACATCAGTAGCATTCCACATTTTTATTCTGGCATTATTACTCACATGTAATTATGAATAATTAACGCTGGACCAGGGAGTTGAGTTTTTTGTATTATGTATATAAATTCTACAATTTGCATCACTGGCAAAGCTAAGCCTGCCTGCAGAACAACTCATTGAAAGAACAATCAAAAGCTGGGCTTGGTTTTCAAGGAAATACTTGGTTGTGTTTTGTTTCTGTGATGTAAATGGGAGATTTAAAAAGAAAAATTATTGAAATTTATGCAATTGATAGGTGTTATTAGAGGAAGCTTTGGAAGTAAAACAGAACCTTTGAAAACCGAAACTATTTCCTGGTATTTGTTTTGAATAGAGGGGTGTTGAATGTTATTTTTGTTACACTTGTGATTGGCCACTTTATTGTTAATCCTTTGTATAGCAGTGAAGTTACTTATAATGGTCACAATATAGAGCCTATCACTTGCTCTTTAATATATCACTGGTGTCGTTTTCTTCTGTTTTCCCTTCTCAAAGGCTGTCTTCTGAGCCATGTAGGAAAGAAAATGTCATCACGCAGTTCACTTTTTAAAGTATCTAAAAGTCTTCCTCACTGTAGAAAATCACTTTTTTTAAAAAAAACGGGTAGATGACCAATACTTGTAACCAAACTTTGTATTTGTGTGTTAACAATAACAGTAAGAGCATTCTCACAACATTATAACCATGTCATTATAAATGGAGGATATGCAGTTGGGTTGATTGATGGTAAGCGTTTACATGGCAAGAATCAGGAAACTAGAACTTATATTCTAGTAGAAATAGACGTTTACTTATCTTTTGGGGTATTACTTGATAATACTATATATGTTAAAATACCTGTAGTATGTTTCTGAGTAAAGTACTCTAACAAAGGATTAGGATTCAGAACTTTCTTTTAAAAAAAGGAAAGTTATTCTGTACTCTATCTATCAATGTAGGAAAACAAATGAAGATTGGCCATTTCTACAAAACTGTTCCTATAAGCAATTAGTGTTTCCCCCGGAAACAAAGAATTGCTGATCTGTTTACAGTTGGAGTAAACTGCAAATCAGTAATGGCAGATGAATTCCTTTTTCATAGCTTGCTGTATAAATTTGTACTACCAATGGCCAATAAGGAAGCAATGAAAAACATTCCATGTTGTGATGTTCAACTCATTCTTTTTCAAAAGCAAAAATTTATAGCTTGCAAAGTGACATGAAAAATGTAAAATTAATTTTTCAGTAGAGTACATTAATGAGAAGCTGCATCATAATAATGTAGGTGTCAATGCTGCAAATACTGTATATTCTTGCTTTGACAATATGCAAAACTGTCTGGTATTTATTGGGTTAATACTTAGCTTAGAGTGGGGGGGAAAAGCCCAGGAAAGAAAGAGGAAGTAAACTTTTGACCTTCACACTAATTGGATAATATGACCTGTGACTGCATGCGAAGGGAGGGGTTTAGCAAGAAAAGCTTGATGCCAGCAAAGGAAATCAGATTCTGGCATCAACCCGTCCATCATGGTGACCGGCAAAATTGTAGCTTTGCAATAAAAACTTTAGGAAACATGCCTGAAAGTTCTTTGAAGTGCTTCATTAGTCAGAACATGTGACATCAGGGTTTTTTCCAAGTTTTCTAGAATAGTTTGAAATAATAGCTTGTTTTGTTTTCAGTGTTCAGTGAAAACTTTTTAAAGTGCATTGTTAGAATAAATGTATTTCATGTGTTGAGTTCCTCTGATTATCAAAAAGCTATGGAAATTATTTAATTATTCCAATTACTGGCTTTTCTTCCATATAATAATTGACCATAACATTTCCTGTATTGATGCAGAATTTGCATTTCACTGGAAATCATAGAAACCATGACCTAGGAAGCAGGAGTTCAAGGGTGTGTAAGATTATTTCATAGTATTAATTATCTTCATGTGAATACTGCATCATAAAAGGAATAACAAGGTATATTTGTTAGTCATTTGTACACAATTTATGAGGAGAAAGTGAAAAGAAAATTAGATTTAGAGAACTGGTAAAGTCATTCCATAATCTTTCTGAACTTTTGTCTTTTCTAGCACATAGCATTTGAAAAGAGGTGAATCTGTTATAAAGTTATTTACCCAATGTTTTGATAGACAGTTGTAACCTTTTATGAAATTTATGCTATCCAGTTGTTTCTATTTGATTCTAACAGCTTCATCAGTTGTATTTGCCCACAAAACTAACCTTCTAAAGAATTCTGGCTTAGCATGACCAAGTAGCACAGCAGTGATCCTTCTGGTAATATGTGGAGATAGTGTGTGCTCCAGCTGTCAGAGAAAAAAAGTGACTGAACAAAGAACTGCCAGATTGTTGGCTTCAAACGGCTACTTGTTTGGAAGAAAGAAATCTAGTATCCTGGTTAGCTCATCTCATATCATGAAAGAACCTTTTGTGGACTAAGTCTGGCATACTGCAGATACAACCCTTTCTTTTTTACTCAGAAACTAATTAAAATTTAATTTGCCCCCTTTTTTTTTTACAGATTGCCTGGTTTAGGCACCTTTGAGAACACTGTGTTACTGCTAATATAACAAAACCAGAAATAAATTGACACAAACCTTCAGGGGTTAATTATGGTTTATTAGACAAAGAATTACTAATATTTTAGAAAATTAAATTAGCAATCCAGCCCAACAGCTATATTCTTTAGCACACTGTAGCTCATCAAGTGACTTTTTACTTTCTCTCTTTAATATTGATCAATTCATAAGTTTTTAAATATGTGAATACTTTTCACATTGAGACAGTATGCTATAAATTAGTACGCTTGGAATAATCAGATTTCAAAAGATTTTACAATACAGTAAAGTGTTGATTTAACAGACCTGAGTGTAGTAGACTTCAGATGCCACGGATAAAATTCCCATTATATACCTATCTTACTTTTATATATCATTTGCTTAATAAGATTAAACAAATGATGTGCTATAATGCAAAATATGTGCAATTTATATCTTAGCATAATATCACCACAGATTATATACTCTGATTTAATGGACAATTAGAAATAACAGACATCCCTTCTCCCCAATTGGACTGTTAAATCAAGGTTTCACTGTATTTTTAACATCCATTTTTCCCCTACAGAAAGATTTTATTGCAATATTTAAATAATATTGCAGTAGCTTTCCTTTTCCACAAACATATGGATTCTTTCAAATTGGTTTTAAAATCTTTACTGCATATTATACATACTATAATTTGAATTAATTATTTGAAAATTTCAACAGAAGATAACACAATAAACGTTATAAAATCATTTATCCACAGTATTTTATTTTGAGCTGTCTTTACACAGGTTTAATCACTAACCATTTCTTGATTTAAAGTAGTATGTATTAAAAAGAAGTCATATGTGCCATTGTATGAAGTTAATATAGTATTCTGTAAAATATATTTAATTTTAAAAAATTTAAAGACATATTGAAAAGATTTCTTAAACCACATTTTTGCTTGTTTGGAATACAGTGGCCTAATTATTTAAATACAAAAGGTATATGGGATGTTGCATGTAAGCCTGAAGTTGTCATACTGTATATTCAATTGATATAATTGTGCAATATGTTTTTCCACAAATATCACTCCCAATTTACAGACTATGAAGTAATACAAAAAGAATGTTACTCCAGCTATCAGAAATGTATATCATAATTGTAGATTTGCACATGCTATATCAGTGTATGGTTATTATAGAGCTACTACATCTGGACCGTAAAAAATCTGGAAGGTCATGGAAACAATAAGTTTTCTGAATCTATCATCTGTGGTTGTCTGGATCTTTACAGCTCCAACCTGGTAGCCCTACTTGTTCCAAAGTTTATGCATTAACATTTCATTGGCTGAAGCTTCAGTCAAAGATCACAGTTATCAGACGCAGTATGTGTAGCCCCACATAAAGAATTATTTGGGGGCATTTCTGAGGCAGGATTTAAGGTAACTGCATCAGATGGAGATGGTGGTGTGGCTAAAATATTAAGTACAGTAAAGCAATGCCACAATTAGAAAACAAACCCAGTATATGTGCCAAGATTTGCCAGGGCCTATGTTATCTAGTCTACATGCATTCCTGTTTACTATGTTTTCAACCTTGTTTATAAAGCAAACAAGCGGTTATACTGCATCTTGCTGTGATTCTGCAACATTAAGAGTTTTGCAACTCTTGCAGAGGAAATTTCATTAAGATTATAAATAACCACAATTTGCTACCTGTCCCCCCCAAAAAAAGAACAAAGTTAATGCATTGGAATTAGAAAAATAAAAGTGAATTTTCCCTACTTGCCTCTCTCCCCACTGCCCACCTGTCTTCTGCTTGGTTCTACCTGGTTTCCCTTCCTTTTTATTCCTGCCTCATAACACACCAGGGACCCTGAAACTCAGAAGCTTCAGAGAGGCTGATGGTTAGAGACACAGAAGTATATAATAAACAGCTAGCCATTCCATCTTTTTATATAATTATGAAGTGATCTTTCTAATGAAATCATGATTCACTTTTATTGTAATGTGTTCCTAATAAAATGGATTACAATGTGTTGGGATATTATTACTCAGCAAAAAAAAATGTTTAAATCTGGAAAAGTGACACCTATAGTTGACTTGAGTAATCAAATGTATGAGATTCAATTCTGAAAAGATAGCTTACAGATAATGCATATGTCCCATAGGCATCACCCTATATTATTTTCCCTTATATAATACTGGATGCCTGTGTAAAATAATGTTTGCTTATGTGAAAGCTTACTCTCTTCTATTGGAACTTAATTTTTTTATTTAAATTTCCTGAACAATCAACGAATATACTTGAGTGATTTTTAATAAATGTTGCTTGAAGAGAAGTATGCAGAATAATGTTTTTGGGGATTAGTACCTTTTCTTTTTTAAAAAAATGTCCTGTATAATTTGAAACTATCATTTCTGCTATTGTCTTGTAAAAGCTATCTGATAGATTTTCTCTTGATGCCAATTCAAAGAAGGAAACATGAGAATATTGTCCCAGATTTTAATTTTTAAAATGTGCTATAAAACGGCTGAACTGTTCTAAACTTTAATATTCAACAATCATTTTGAGATTGCAAAAGCAAAATAGAAAGGCAATGAGAATGAAAAAATGTAAAAAATATTTTCATATCAGGCCAACATTTATTTTCCTTTAACTGCTATTCTCAACTAATTTCCAAAGTGCCTTTTCAGAATGCAGAACTTTAAAACACTGAAGAGCCGGTTATGAATTTTAAATTAAAATCGTGTGGTCATGTGACATTGCACTTTATGTCTACATCACTTAGTGACAGAGTTGCCAATCCCAATTATCATAGTTAAACGAGGACTACCCTTGTTTAGTCCTGTATTTTTAAAGACACTAAAAAGTACTCTAACTTGAAATGTTTGATTCTAGTCAAATCTTAGTAATTAATTTCTACAACATAGAAATGTTACAGTATCAAAGAAATAAATTGCATATTACACCAGCATAAATATTTCTTGTGCTCCAACTGGAATTTTATACTAAAGGTTCAAGCAAAATTATGCTAGAGTTAACTCCAGCACAGCCCCACCAGCCCTGCTTAAGGATGATGAGTGAGGATTTCTCAGGCATCCGTCCGTAAGCAGTATCAGCCCACAATTTGGCTTATATCTTTTATTTTACATTTGAAACTAGGAAAGTTAATTTGCCAGATTTCCAGAATAGGTGACGTTTCTTGGATGCCGTTCAGGGACAACATGCCAATTACCATAATTTATAATCAGATTGATCAGTCTGCATAATTCCTTAGTAAATTTCAGTATTCAATATTTTTAAATATGAACAGTTCAGCCTCCTTTTCATGCTTTTTATCATGGGAGCAACATGTTTCTGAACAAGAGATATTATGATAGCAATTCTGCAAAAGCAATTTGGCTTCAATTAAGCCCTCATAAACCACTGTTAGTGCTCAGTGAATTAATACAAGTTGTAAAATGTGCATGTACAGAGTTAATTCACAAATGCCTCCTTGGAATACTTATAGCAATGATTTAAAAAGTGGCTATTCACAAAAATCCTGAGTTAAACAGTACAGTACATTCCTTTTCACTGGAATTCAAATTTTAATTTTAGAAGATATGCTAGAAATAAGTTACTATTCAGAATCTGATGTGTTATTTCATCCTGGCAACTTAAACTACAATGTATTATTTCTGTCTATCAAAAGATACATTAAATATCAGTGTTAATAAAGCTTATCTAAAAATTGAGGATCTGGACATTAAGCATTAGTTTTTCCATCATTTCTTTTCTACAGCCATCACTGCAGTACATTACGTTCTCAGAACATTTTAACATATTTTACTAATGCAAAAGGCTCATTTTTGAAAAATCAATCAGTATACTTATCTTATAGATGCAACTAAAAAAGTCCCAAAAGCATTCAGTAACATATGGTCAGAATTTAGGCACATGGTATCTGTTGTTAGATGAGCATGATGGCCGTTTGTACTTGAAATGGACTTAAAGGCAACTGATAGTACTTGGAAAGGACCAGTAGTGACCTTGGTTAAAACCAATAGCAGAGGATGGCTATACTTATTTTTGAAGACAAATCTTGAGTTCGGTATTAGATATACAAAAGTCTAAACTTTTCTCATAACTATACATATCTACCTAGATTAATCAAATAATGGAACTATTTATCTGTAATGAAAAAGTGATTTAGCTTATTTTCTCAAAGCTACCCTCATAAATTGTTATAGTTCCATGCCTCGGGTATGTCTTGAGCAATATGTTTAAATATTGCTTAAAGAAAATTTTATTAACTAGTTTCAACTGGAATCCTTGCTTCTTTATTAAGATACATTATTTCCATGTGCCACTTGCATACAACCCAGAATATTATGGGGTTGTTTTTGTTTAATATTCATGACCTTTCTGAAAAGATACAATGGAGTAACTTAATAGCGTAGTGCTTGCCATTTTGACACTGGAACCTGATTGTGTTATCTTACAATATATGTACTGAAAACAACCTGACATTTCAAGCTATTCTTTAAAAAATCCTTCATAATCATTCATCTTGGTGAAGACAAAATGGAAATAATTGTTTGCAGCATAATTGGAAAGCCAGCAGGTTTGCTTTGTGGCATTCCTTCATATCCATGTGTCAGAATTCTCACTACTTCACATTTTTTAATACTGTCTAGAATTCAGTGCCTTTCAACTTTCTATCATGTTGTACTACCAGAACACTTACTGTACATGTCTTCATTCCTCCCTATAAGAGTCCAAGTAGCTACTTCAAATCCATTAGTTTTGAGATAATAAAAAAAAAATTGGGAGAAGAGTATGTTATAGGAGACAAATCAGGCTTTTTCCCTCTTCGATTTCCTCCTGGACTTTGTCGCTGGAGGTGGCGATTTCAGCTTGGGCAGAGAAGACTGCGCAGATGAACGTCAGGACTGTGCCACCAATAGCAGTGTAGAAAGCCCAGCCTAAAGAACAGTCACCAAGTTTATAAGCTGAAGCATAAGGTCCACAATAGCTTATTGCCTTCTGACAACCCCAACCAGCAGGATATAAGATCAAGCCTAGAATAAGGAATAGTCCTATTTAAAAGAAAGAAAGAAAGAAAGAATAGTTAGACAAAAGTGCAGTAAAGTTAGGCACAAAACTTAATTTTCATAGGAAGGAATTTGCATTCTGATACAAACTGAAATTTCTGATGGCTGCTACTGAATGGTTGGCCCGTAATCTATAAACTGGTGGGCCATATTTTTGTCTACACTGTAATTGCTGAATTCATAGTGATGAATATGATGGAGCATTTTGGCCATGTTACTACAATGAAGGCTGAATTCATAACTTAGAATTTAGGAAAGAAAGCTCATTCAGATATAGAAAGCTCATAGTCAGTTTTGAGTACCTGTATTTTTGTTGACATCTAGTGGTCATCTGGATTTTTGCTGCCTGAGAGAAATGGTCTGGAAGAAATAGTCTGTTGAGCCCCTCTTCATTTTTTTCTATGTGAACTTAATAGTGCTATGCATGCATCAAGGATGATTCACTAACAGTTGGGACCTCATGCATGTGCAGGCCCTGCCTGCTGTTAAAGCAGCCCAATTTTTTTTCAGTCCTGTGTGACCCAGGAAAAAAAAGATGCTGCTGCTTTAAGGATCTTTAATGAGTGGATTCCTTAACAAAGTGGCATTTTTTAATCTGTGATCTGAAGCAATTCTTCCAGGCCATTCTCAAAAGTATCCACAATTGTACAAAGTAATCCAAAATCCACAGTGTGGATTTTAATACTGTGCCTAACTACAATATTAAACGTACAATTGCTTTCTAAAAGTCTGACATTTTCATCGTTCAAATCTACCAAGAACTTCAACCAAGAACTAATCTCTCATTTAAAACAAAAGTTGATATGTTCTTCCAATTATTGGGATATAGTACCACCACCTAAGAGAATAAGGCAAAACATTTTAAACCCATGGAGTAACCTCTTGTGTTATTGCTTACTGGAATCCATATATGACTCTTATCTTGACTGTAGGACTTTCTCTATGGAATTTGGGAGTTGGATAGCATTTCCTGTCAGAATGTCTGAGCCAGTGGGCATACAAAATATTGCTTAAAGTCAGGCAGACAGGGATAAATTGAGCTTTCATTCTACTGAGCCCACCAACTCTGGCAGACTAAACACCCCAAATCCCCTTCTTGATATTTGTCAACGAGACCTGCGGCATAATTCTTTTATTGGAGGTTCTACTGTTTCTACAGCGACAAACTGAAAGGCAGTTTGAAAATTACTGTATTTTGTGCAATGTGTCCAAATTAAATTTTAAGACATTTCCTTTAAAAATAAATGTAGTTTATTTGAGCAAACATAGTTTCATATATTGCAAAAAAGCATAATGAAATTTCCATAGCAGAGATCTTGACTTTATACCGATTTGTATTGTCATGGCTTCCATGAAAGGATTGGTTGCTGGAACTGAATTTTGTTGCTCCCCCTCCCATTTTTCTGTACAGGACAAACAATTATTAACCCTACATTGGTTCTGGCCTGCTTCTGAGTTGCTTGTGGTGAGGGGCAGCATTGGATCTCTGCAATATAGGGTTTATTGTAGGAATAGCAGTCATTTATGACCACCCTGCTTGTGTTCCAGAAGAAATCAAGATTTGTTTTAAAGGGAAATAAGATATGCATGAAATTCTCCTTTTTTATATATATGGCCTTAACCGGTAGAGCAGGGTCCCCAATCTTTCTGGCTCCATGGACTGGTTGTGGCGGCAGTGGAGGGGGATGGTTTCACACAAGTACTTGCCGCTTATGCAAATGAAGCTTTGTGCGCTCGCCTGCCACTTGTGCAGCTCAGTTCCCAATGCTTCACAAACCACTACAGGTCCATGGACTAGGGATTGGGGACCCCTGCTGTAGAGGGTTTGGCAAATGTTGCCTAGTGCAATAACAATAGCATTTAGACTTATATACCACTTCATAGTGCTTTTACAGCCCCCCCCCAAGAGGTTTCAGAATCAGCATATTGTCCCCAACAATCTGGGTGCTCATTTTACCAATCTCAGAAGGATGGAAGGCTGAGTCAATCTTAAGCCATTCAGAATCGAACTCCTGGAGTGAGCAGTGAGTGAGCCTGCAGCACTGCATTCTAACCACTGTGCCACCAGGGTTCTTCTTCAGCTATTTAGGCAAGATTAATGTATTTTCCAAATGCAGCTTCCAACTTCAGTGCAATCTTACATTTGTTTATTTAAAAATGAACAATATGGTTACAGTAATGGGAGAAGGACTCCAGTTTTGCTTTCCTTTTGCTTTCAGTAAAGGCACTGAATTTTCTTCTCTACTTCAGTAGAGACTGAGATACAGAACATGTGAGCACAAGCATGTCACTCCCTCTATCTGTAGAAACTCTGTATGCAGGTACACCCAGATTTCACCTTTTCCATCATGGGGATATAACCGTACAAGGTTTAAAAAAATGTCCTTATTAGCATTGATAACTCCTTCCTTAGTAGATTCAGGAAGCTATGAAACTTTAAACAGTGAAAGCTGAAAAAAATGTCCTTGCAATGGAGAAAATAATACAATGAATTGCACTGCAAAGACTATGAATTGCATACTTTTTGCTGAAATTGAACATAGCTACCTGAAAAAGCTGCACGGACATTTTTTATATTTAGGCTGAAAGTATTTTATACCAATGATTATTAAATCTATTAAAATGCCAATATTTTTCAGGGCTCCAATATACTAAAAGTAAAAAAAAAAAAAAAGGAGCAACCTCTTGACAACCTATGAATACAGCACAATAGTTCTTACAGAATGTTTATTCTGAATTGATCACTTGCTCATATTGGAACTTGGTCTTCATGCAAAACAACTTAAGCATTTTCCTTTCTAGATTGGTAGCTGAAAGGAAGGGTAGTGCAGATGTGATGGCCATGAATCCTCCAGCCTTGTGCAAGTCCAGACTACTGTCTCTGACAATACTTTGGTTCTCTATGCATTCTTATTCCATATCCAGATAATCTGGAACTCTTTTCTAACAACTGAAATCTGTATTGTTAAATGATTGGTTATCCAATACCTCCTCTTAACATCGTGAGAGATCACTGAATAGTTCCCAAAAGGGTGTCTACAGTAAATATTTATGTATTTGTTCATTCATTTAGAGAAAGGAGCTTTGTGTAGAGAAGAATGATAGAGGTCCTTCTTTCCACTCCATTCAATGAATCATTTAATTTTTCAATGTAACAATTTCGGGAATTGTTATGGGAAATGTACTTCTGTTAACTCAAATGAACAACCCCCTCTGCATTTAACCAGATGATATTCAGGATCTTTCTATTTCCATGTTGCATTTTGGCACTCTATTGTTCTAAATTAAAATGTACTGGATATATATAAAGCTAATTTGCCTTCCCTGCAGTTTACTAATACCTTGCTGAGACTGTTATATTTGGTTTCAGCTATGATTAATTCAGCATTTTATCTCTAGGGTACAAGTTTAGTGATTTACATTTATTGAACTATCTAATAAATATTATTGAAGAACAAAGGCTATTTTGTGCCATATAGTATGGGATTTGCATATATCCATCTGTATCTCCAGACAACCAAAATCTGTAATTCACAGAACTAATTAAAGACAAAATGTAAAATTTCTTTTGTCTTTTCATTTATATCCAGGACTTGTTATTGTATCTCTGAAAAATTTGGTATTATAAATTGTTCAATATTTCAAAAATTGTACTCTCCCATATTTAACAATCTTGTGTCTTCCACATTCAGGAAATGTAATAAATGATTCAGTGCCCTCTAAAAAGTCATCCTTAATGATTGGAAAAGAAATACTATTTATTATTCTAAAAACAATGAACATAAATCATGAAATTCTCTTTAAGTTGTTAAATACAAGAAAACCTGAAGAATGAAATTCTATAATAAGGATATACAGGTTTATAAACTTCTAACAACTAATCAGGAAAAGAAATGGAAGGCCTTGCATTTTTAAATGTAAATGAATTAGGTGCTGAGGCCAAGGATTATGCCCATCTTGGTTATGAAATAATTTCACTTATTCCTAAATGGAGTTCTAGGAATGTAACAGGAATTAAGAAAACTGTACTGGACAGGATTAAAAATTCAAATGCATAGGATTCTATGCCTATAGTAACCTTTTGGACCATTTTCAGGAAAGCAACTACTCTTAACTTATTTGGTTTACTATCCAAATACTGAGGTCCCATTACATCTGTCTAAGAGCAACTGAATGTAAGAAACAACTAAACGTTAAACAAAAAAGGAACCTTCATTAAGCAGGTTTAGCAATAACAGCTATTCCCACACAGTGCCGTTCTAAAAATGGCCATGCACTATGTTTGAGCAATGCCAGGACAGCAGCTTTGCCCTGATGTAAAACAGATTCCCTGGCCTGATATGGAAACAACGTCTTCAAAGCATAGTTACCCAGCTGTTTGTTTGGTTAAGCAGAAGCATACGCTTTAATTTTGACAGTTGTTTGTATGGCTGTTGCTCTGCCATATTAAACAGTGAAGTACTGCAAGGCAAACTTAGTTCTATTTCAAAGATGAACCTTTCCCAATTTCCGTCAAAATTCATAGAGTGTTTACTTATTAAAAGGTCCTCAGAAAATCCACAGGAGCTAAATATGATCAAAGGGGAATTAATGCTACATCTGTCAAAGGCATATGTGATGCTGTTTAATTTAAAGTAAAAAACCTGTACAAGTGGCTCCCACGAAGTGACCTTAAAAGTTACAAGACCCTTCTTATATCAGACATTACTCTTCCAGGTAGAAAGTTGATACTCTAACAATCACAACATACCATGCAGCTTTCCCATCTTTCTTCCCTTGACTCTGTTTTGAGAAGAAAGATGGAAGAAACCATGAAAAAATATTGCAAAGGTAGGGACATCTAGGTAACCCACAACGTCTGTATAGAAACCACCTGGTCAGAAAATATTTTTGTAATGTTAAGCCTATTAAAACATAAACCTCATGTTTCTGTCCAAAAATGTACAGGTTCTATCTGATGTGTTAAAAATCACTCTGGATAGCTA